TGTGCCAGAGGGGAGAGTCTGGCTTAGGAAGTAGAGCAACTTAATGGAATATGTGGCAAGGATAGCATATTGGCTGAGAATCAAAGGGAAAATAGACTTCCCCTCAAAAGGGTTTAGCTAAAGCTCTCACTGGTTGTGGCTCATGGGTCAGGCACTGTCCCAGGAGCTGAAAGGTCGCCTCTCCCATTCCTGTTCAGAGCACATGCTGATTGGGGGCAGGCGGCAACCGATCGATGTTTCTCTTGCACAGTGATGTTTCTCTCCCTGTCTTTCTCCTTCCCTTCCCCTCTTGCCAAAAAATGAAGAAAGAATGTTTTCTAAGAAAGGGTTTAGCTAAAGAGAACTTAAAGGGTGGGGCCATTTACAGATCTGCAGACAGTTAAGAAAATCAAAAAGAGATGTTGGGGATCAGGGACTAACAATAGCAAGAAGCCACAGTCACCCCCTGGGTGAAGGGGCTGAGGGGCATTAATAGTGACCACAGGAGCCCATGGAGAACAGGAAGAGGCCAGAGAAGAAATGCCCCCACCAATCTCTTCCCCTGCCCTCCAGCCCTGCCAGTGCTTCTCATTGGCTGACCCAACAGGAAGGTAGAGGACCCAAAAGCCAGAGTGATGCAGTCTGTAGGGGGCTGAGAAGTAGGAGAATGAATGGGAGGGGGCAGAAATGGAGAACCACCAGCACAGGCAGTAAATGGTGGAGCAAGGAGTTGAACTTGGAATTCACTGACTCTAAACCCTGCAGCCTTTCTGCTGCCCCGCATAGCATGACGAGCCACTGCACCCTCAACGCCTCCGGATCCTACACATCACTTCACATGTGGGGCCATCCTGCCAAGTAAGGACTCAAGCCTGGGCCCGAGCCGTTCCTTCTTTCTCTGGCCAAAACGTTCCTCTTCTGAAGAAAGCCTGGGTTTTTGTCAGGATGGCTGTGTCTGGTTCCACCAGCCTAGCAGAGAAATGCAAGCTCTTTGTTCTGAGCCTGACATTAACGTGCGCTTACGGTCCTGTGCTCGTGCCCTGCCCTCTCCCAGGACCCCCAGACCTCCTTTCCTTGGCCTGCATGGGGCATTCTGGCCAGGGTTTCGTTCCCTGCTGTGTCGCTGTTACCTGGCTCGATGCCTGGCGCAAAACAGGCTCACAGTGATCACTCACAGTAGAGTTCAAATGCCTCTCTAAGTAACACCTTCCCCTCCTGGGTTTTTATTTCATAGAGTGAGTTTTCCAGAAGCTTCTCCAACTCCTGTTGCACGTAAAAAACATTAAGTTTGGCTTTTTGGGTTGGGCCAGAGCAAGAGATGATGATTCCATTAATAAAAATAATAATATATTTGGATCCTTAAAATGTGCCGGGCACTGTAAAAAGGTTTTTGTGTGCATTTTCCCACTCATTGGACCCCTTTTATGCAAATCTTCTCAGCCGCACTTACTCTGGTTGCAGGCAGGCGGCGGCAGCCGGGTCTTGCCTCGGGCCCTGGCTGCAAGTCGCTCCCGTCTTGCTTTGGAATGTCTCTGGCACCTGGCATCGGACACCCTGGGAAACCCACGTAGACTCTCATTCATGCAGACTTGGGAGTGGCTTATGCTCCAAGGGGCCACCCTTGGCCAGTGGGGCACTGGTATCTGTGAATAAGGGCTTCCATTTTCTACCTTGAGCTGCTTTCAAATAGCTCAGAAGGTCCTGCCGGATTGGACATGCAGATGCTCAGAGCAGGGGCCAGCCCCTCCAAGCCCACCTTCCAAGGATGGCCCTCCATGCCTCCCTGCTTTGCTTTCCTCGCCTGTCATTCCTGCTCCCTGGGATCACGTTCCAAAATAAGCTTGCATTAAGCCTTTGTCTCAGGCTCTGCTTTTTTTTTTTTTTTTTTAATTTTAGAGAGAGAGGAAGTGGAAAAAACATTGATTTGTTGTTCCACTTATCTGTGCATTCACTGGTTGATTCTTGCATGTGCCCTGACAGGGCACCAAACCCACAACCTTGGTGCATTGGGACGACGCTCTAATCAACTGAACTACCCAGCCAGGGCAAGCCTCTGCTTTCAGCGAACCCAGGCTAAGACAATCTTATAACACCCATGGCATGGGTGCTATTATTATCCCTGGTCCACAGGGGGGAACCCCGGGGCTTGGGAAGGTTCAGTAGGTTGCTCGGATCCTGCAGGTGAGGGTGGAGCCACTGAGACGGTTAGGAAGGAAGGAGGGGCATGTGGTGCTCCCTGCAGGGAGTAGGGGATTGGAATCACCAGGCCACTGGCAATGTTGTCTGTCTGCTGAGGTCTGTGGCCATAAATTTGAAGTGAAACTGATCAGCCAAGTGATGGGATGCCTCTGACAATACTCAGGTGCAGAGACCCAGAGAAGGCGGGTGGGGGCGGGGGCAGGCGCTCAGGGAAGGCGGGGCGGGGGCGGGGGCGGGGCGCGGGCAGAATAGGAGACACACTGAGCAGTAAGTAGCTGGGAGTCAGGGTGACCGGGGATGGCTCGGGGGCTGGGGCCCGTGAAAATCATGACGTTTACAGGGAGTGGTATGAGGGTGCAAGGCTTGCCCGCGCTCCATCTTTGACTCTAGGAGAGATGCTGGAAGCAGGAGCCCCCTCTCTCGGAGGCCGGCGAGGTCGTGCCAAGGGCGAGGCCAGGTTGCGTGGTCAGGGGTCCATGTCAAGAGGCCTGGCCAGGTCCTGGGGTCCCAAGAAACGGACACTGAATCTGCACTCTGTGGTTTATTCCCAGCGTGACTATGAGCTACTTCTCTGGCTTCTTTCAAATTCTGCACCTGTCAAATGGGAGGGGAGGCACTGGGGTTGGAAAAACAGTCTTCCTTCTACCCCCTGAGTTCTTCTGGCTGGTCTGATAACCAAAATGCCATGAGACAGATTAACAGGAGAAAATAACCAAATGTATTACATATGTACATAAGAGTGTTCCCTAACAATATGGAACTGAGGACAAATAGAGTAGTTGAGGCTTATACTATACTATTCTGGACTGAGAGAGAGGCAAGGGTCTCTGACTTCAAAGGAAAAGCAGCAGTTCACAGGTAGATGAGAAGGCACAACATTTGGTAAACAAATTCTTGCAAGACCACCCAAAAACAATGGGACTCAGAGGGGAGTCTAACAAACTGAATTATCTAGGTTCCTCTCTGTTTGCAACACTCAGATCATATTATGATGCTAAGGCAATAGCTTCCTTCCTTAAAGCAGGTTTTTCTATCTGAATTCCTTTAGGCATGTAAACAGGGAGATTCAGATATTCTTTCTGAGTTGTTGTTTTTATTTTTTTCTAAAAAAGAACAGGCTTAAAATAAACAAATCCCAAAAGACACATTTTTGGAGTGGCAAACTCTGCTTCCCCATAGACTCCCCCCTTGCATGGTTGGGGTGACAATTAGAGGTCACATAAGAGATGCAATAGGCGCTAATGGCCATGTGCCAAGTGCCAGGCTAAGCGTTCTTCCCAGCCGTTAATTTATTTAACCTTCACAAAGGTTATTAGAGCGACATGTCACAACTAAGACAAGTTAACCACTGAAAGGTAAACGACTTGCCTGCGGTCACCAGCAGAAAACATCAGCCCAGGAGGATCTGGCTTGGCAGCTCTCAGTGGAGTGTGCTCTTCACCTCTCCTCCACCCGGCCTCCCAAGGGACCTGCCTTACAACAGGCGTCATTCTCCTTAACAGCAGAGGGAACAGAGCTTTGCTTCCTTGCTCCTTTTCCACCAGCTGCCCCTGGCTTTCCCCGGCCCCTGCTGGCCTCGCTCCGGACGGGCTGAGGCCAGGTCTCAGCCCTGCCTCACAGCCTCCCCGCTTCGGCTGCCGACTGCTCAGGCCCTTCACGGGGCCGCACGCCTGCGGGGGGAAGCCACCCTCTCTTAAGGTGCATGTTGAGTGGGCTGAGGGACCTTTGTCCCAGCCTGGGCTGGGGGGAGGGGTGGCCTCAGATTTGCTGGCCTTTGTGGCAGAAAGGAGACGGCTTCTGCTGGACTCATGGCTCCACCCTCAAGGTTCCTTTGCCTGTGAGCTTGGGGCCCATCCCCACTTCCCCCTGCTTCCCAGCTGTGCTAAGGAGTTTCCCAGACTTGCGGGCCGACGTGGCCAGCTTCCTCACTTCCTCCCTGGAGCCCCATCCGCCTGCTGCGCCCAGGGCCCAGCCCTGTCCCCTGCTTTGCCCCCTGCTCACCCACAGGCCAGGCCTGAGCTCAGGAGCTGGAAAATGGGCTGGGATCAGACAGCAAAGAGAGGCCTCGACATTTGGGGCAGAGCCTGGGACTGCTGGGGTGAGCAGGGGTTGTGAGCAAGTCCAGGAAAAACTGCGTAGGTGGAGATAGGAAGAGGTGACTGGGAGCCCCTGATTTCAGAGAGGGGGTAGTGTCTATTGTTATTTGGTGCTTACTGAGCGTTTGGCATGTGCCGACCACTACCCTAAATTCTTAATCTGCATAATCTCAGCGAATCCACACTACAAGTCTATAAAGTAGATATTACGACCCTCAGTTTACAAACAGGGAAACTGAGGGATGGAGAAATTAGGGGTTCTGTGTAAAGGCATATGGAAGTGGCTGAACAGGGATTTGAACCTCACTCAGTCCGCGTTTCCTGTACCCGGGTGAAAAAGAGTGACAAAGCTGAGCTGGGGACCCCAGGGAGGGGGAGTAAACCAAGGGGGCAGGGAGATCAGCTGTCTTGGGTCCCCAGAGGGACAAATTTGTGTTTATTTTCAGGGTCTCCTCTGGCATCACATGCAGGAGACGTGGCCCCCACACCCTCCCAGCTGCCTGTGGGCCTGGGGCTGCTGTAGCCCGGAGCCAGGGCTGGGTCAAGATGGGGCTGGGACCCGGGGTCGAGGTGCCCGGCTGGGAGGTAGGCCAGCCGGCAGGATGACAGACTCCAGAAGCCCTCCCTGAACAAAGACTGGGTGGGAGGAGGCCTGGCGTGTCCCCACCCCGCCTCCCCCAGCGCCTGCTGAGCCGAGACCACAGACAGCGGTCAGGCAGAGCGAGCATGGCGGGGTGGGGGGCCGCTCTGCTCGCCCTCGTCCTGCACCTCCTGGGCCGGGCGCCGGCCCGGGAAATGGGCAGAGGTGAGTCGGGGAGCCAAGGGCTTAGGGTCGGCGGCCGGGCGGGGGGCATCCCGCTCTGGCTCAGACCAGTCTGAGGAAGGGGCTGGGGCCGCGGCTGCGACTCCTGGCCCTGCCTGGGGGTGCGTGGCCCACCTCCGTCCTCCGTGGGCTGAGGAGACAGCTCGGTGGGCGAGCTCAGAGGCTGAGGCATGGGGTCCGGGCGCGGGAGGGGGCTTCCTGCTTTGGCCTCGGGAGGAATTCCTGCAGGCAGCGGTGGGGGAGAGGCTGCTCTGGAATCCGGGAGTCTGAAGTTAATTATTTGTCTTTTGAAAGGGGGAAAAAAGGAGGCCCGCTATGGGAGCTGACTTTGAGTCTCTGTGTCTGGCCCTTACCCAGAGGGGCAGGCGGGAACAGAGGGATCGGAGAGGGGAACTGAGGACAGTTCCAGGGGGAGCAATTAGGTTTCTGTGCAACGCTCAGGAGCCCTGTCTGCAGGTCTCTCCAGGCGAGGGACCCGCCCTGCATTCTCTGAGGGTCCCAGAGGACCCCCAGCTTCTCCCTGATCCCCTAACTGTTCCTGCTTGAGCAGGTCTGGAGGGACGTCATGGGGAGTAGGGGTCAAGCTGGTCGGAGGGTTTAAGATGCTGAGACCTCATCCATCCTTGGACGCCCTTCGCGGGGCTGGCTAGGAAGGAAGCTGGGTCCAGGGGCCCTGCCGAGACACAGTGCCATTCCAGGTGACCCAGCACAAAGGAGGGGGACGGCAACATGCATAGGCAGTTTGGGTGCCCGCATTTGTTGAGGTGTTAGAGCCCTGGATGTGGGGGATAGCGGGGCAGACTGAAAAGACGGGTGGCACTTGTGAAAGGTCGTGTGTGCACCTGCTGCTTCAGATGTGCCACTTAGAAAGGCTGTGCTGAGGGAAGAGGAGCAGGTGGGGGCTGGAGGACGACTCAGCCTTCATTTCTCTTAGTAGAGGCCGGGGCAGGGGTGAGAACAGATTCGGGGGGGCAGCTGGGTGAGGCAGGAGACCGATGGGGTGTCGGGGAGGTGGGAAGTGGAAGCCGAGCCTCAGGTTTCTCAGTAGGTGGGGTCAGCATTAACCAAGGCAAGGAGCTCAGCCAGGCAGGTTTGAAAGAAGGCAACTTAGGTTTTGGACTAGAATCTCCAGTCTGTCCTTGGTGATGGCTGGGGGGGCGGGCAGTGGTCCCCTTCCTCACAGGACTAGTGACTGTGAGAAAAGCCCTTCTAGCCACTAATGAGCTGTGTCTGTGGGAAAGACCCTCCTCTCTCCCTCCTCCTCCTGCACCTCCGCTGCCTGCCGTGCCCCCGCCCCCACCCCTACTGCCTGGAGGTCTGCAGGAGGTCTGTGGTGTCGGCTGCCCCCGCACGGCCTGCCGCGGTCTTTGCCTATCTGACTGCAGGAGAGGGATCAAAGTGAGAATGGCTGTCCCTAACCCCAGTTCTGGACTCAGAAGCCCTCCTTTCCCTCAATATAGTGTCACCCAGAGCCCTGCCCAATGTGGGGTCTCAGATGCCTCAGCCACATGTCTGGACACAATGACTAGGCTTTGGTTGGCAACAGAGAGAGCAGTCACACCCCCGCAACTACCCCCGCATTCTCCAGAAGCTGTGTCCTTCTGACAGGTGAAGACAGCGGGTGGCTGGCAGGCTTTGCTCACACCCGGGCCCAGGCACCCGAAGGCAGCCCCGCCTTCCACGCGCCTGTCTGCCTCTCTGCACTTCTAGGCTGAAGTGCTGGCTTCAGGGGACTCCCAGCCTGACATGCCAGCTCCCCAGGCTGCCCCTGGCCAGGTCCCTGGCCCAAGTGAGGATGAATGGCCCTGACATGCAGAGAGGCTCTGGTCTAGATACTCCGTGTGCCCCGAGAGGGCCAGGGCTCCTGGGGCTGCTATCTGACTATGAGGCTTCTGCTACTTGGGAAAGCTGGTCTGGGTCACTTTTGTTCACTCAGGTCTCTCTCCTCCTCCTCCTTCATATTTTCACTCTAGCACCCTCACTGGCCCTATCTCCTTCCATGGACGATGGGTGGGCAGGGGGACAGGGGTGGGGCACAGAGTGACATCTTTGGGAAGACAGAGCCCAGGAAAGCTTGCTAGCCCCTCGCCCATGGGCCCACCCTGGATTCTTTTGACTTCAGGTGGGGCCATCTCCAGGAATTCCCCAGGACTTGCCGACATCCGGGACTACCAGCAGCAGGCCCCAGCCCACCCCTCAGCTCCTGCTGGTGCCCCCCAGGAGCAGTGGCGCCCCCTGCAGGAGTTGCTGGAAAGGTTGGAGGCTGAGGTGACGCAGCTCAAGGAGCAGGTACCGCTGGAGGCTGGGCCTGTGTGCTGCCTGCATGGGGCAGGGCAGGCCTGCGGAGTAGGAGGGAGAGAAAAGCTGGGCTTGGGTGAAGGGGCGCTGAGTGACCCTAAAATAGAGTCTGGCTGTAAATGTACAGGGAGTGGCTCTTCTTTTTTAAAAAGTATTTATTTATTTTTAGAGAGGGGGAAAGAGAGGGAGAGAAACATCAATGTGCAAGAGAAACATCGATTGGCTGCCTCTTGCGTACTCCCTACTGGGAACCTGACCCGCAACCCAGGCATGTGCCCTGACTGGGAATCGAACCAGTGACCCTTTGGTTCGCAGGCTGGTGCTCAATCCACTGACCCACACCAGCCAGGGCCGTTTTTTTTTTTAAGAGTTTATTTTTATTTCTTTTTAGAGAGAGGGGAAGACAGAAAGAGGGGGAGAGAAACACTGATGTGCAAAAGAAAGATGTGCGAAAGATCTATTGGTTGATTCTTGTACGCCCCCAGCTGGGACCTGGCCCGCAACCCAAGCATGTACCCTGACCAGAAATCAAACCAGCCACTGAACCAGAGACCAAACCACGACCTTTTGGTCTGCAAGCTGGTGCTCAATCCACCGACCCACACCAGCCAGGGCCATGGAGCCTTTCTTTTCTGGACAGGTCTTAATACCGTTTCTTTCATAAAAGTGAAGAACCTCCAGGGTATCTGTTTTGTCAACTCAGACTTTCATATTCTTTCATGTATTTGCAAACATTATAGAGCGCCTACTGTGTACAAGGTGTCGTCAGGAAAGATTTTGGATGGATAAAGGTCTTTAACTATTGGACGAAAGGATTAGGTCTCCTGTCCAAAGGAGAGGCTGGGGACCCCCTGCTCCTCTGGGAGCCTGTCCAGACCCCAGGTCCTGGGAACTGTGACTGAGCTGCGCGTTGACTGGAGGGGCTCCCATGGCTGCTGGAACATCAAATCTCCTTCTCATCCTGCCCTGAGGGGGATGGTAGGGGAAGCCAAGCCAGCACTCCCCCCCACCCCTACTCTCTGCTCCAGAACAAGGACCTGCAGCAGAGGGTGAGGCAGCTGGAGTCCTGTGAGTGCCGCCCAGCATCTCCCCGGTGCTGGGGGCTGGGGCGGGCCTGGCCTGCGGGGGCTCGCTGGGAGCCCGACGCCTGCACCACGTGCGTCTGCCAGGGTGGGGCTGCGCTCTGTGACCCCAAGCCCAGCCTGCCCCAGTGCCGCGGTGAGTGCCATCGCTTCTGCCTGCTGGGACCTCGGGGCCTAGAGCTGGACACAACGGCCTGGGTGACAACACTGTCTCCTTCTCAGGCTGTAGCCACAATGACCAGGTCTATGGCAACGGGGAGACCTTCTCCCCAGACGCCTGCACCACCTGCCACTGCCTGGTGAGTTCCATGACCCACCTGAATACCCTGTACCCGTCCCCCTCACCTACCTGCCTCTCTTTAGTCGCTGTTGCTGCAGCTGGGTGTGCCGAATGTCAAGTAGTAGGGTCTGCCTGTTGCTGCCTGAAGCCTTGCCCCTGGTGGTCCTCAGCTGATTCTGAGTAGTTCTACTTCCTGGAGCTCAGCCCCCAAGCACATGGTGGGGGCCCCTGAGCCATCTGATTTGCGCCTGGCAAACAGCGGCATGGAGGGCAAAGGAGATGGTGTTGCTTGTCTTCCGACATGACCCTCTTACCTGTGGATGTCCTCTCGCTGTCCCCTCTCATTCATCTGCTCCCGTCATCTACCCACCTGTTGTTTTCCCTTGTCTGGCTCCACATGCACATTCTTCTGGCCTTTCGTTCCTCACTCTTTCACTGAGGAAAACCTTGATCTCCTTCCTGGGGTCCCCCTACTCTGTAGGAATTTGCTGGCACCTGGAAGAGATGATTTCTAGGGTCAAGAGTGGTGGGAGATGATGGGAGTGGGATAGGAGGCCTCTTTTCTGCCCTCGGACCAAGTGTTGCCCGTGTCCCCTGAGCCAACTCAGCCTCTTGCTCCTCTGGCTTGTCCCAGCTTGGGGTGAGGCTTTGGTTCTGGAGACCCTCCCCTCCAGGGCTCTGATGCCTGCACAGCCACCAGCCTCCCTCCCCACAGGAAGGAGCCGTAACCTGTACCCAGAAGCCATGCCCAAGGGGACCCTGCCTAGAGCCAGGAGCATGCTGCCCGCACTGTGAACCAGGTCAGCCTCCTGCCGGCCCCGGCCCCACCTCCTGTACTTATTTTGGGGCCCCAAGCCATGACCTGCCACCGGCCGCCCTCTGCGTGCTCCGAGGCTACCTGCCCACTCATTCTGGCAGTGGCTGGAGTTCAGAACTGAAGCGCTGACTGTGGCCTGGGACTAAACCAGAGGCTCTGTATGATCCTTTACCTGCCCTTGGGAGCCTCTGATCTCCTTGAGAAGATAAAATTACAGTTAGTATAATACAGGATCCATGAACAGGTCAAGCGGAGGTGTAGAAAGGCAGCAGATGGTTAGTTGCCGGAGGAGAGAGCAGGAGGGCTGGGAAGCCCACCCAGACCAGGTGTCAGGGCGGGCTTTACAGACAGTGGTTTGTCTGAGCTGGATCTTTGAGGGCAAGTGGGACTTGGCCAGGAAGAGACAGCACTTAAGCTCCCTCAGGGCACAAGAACAAGGTCTTGAGAGGTGTGTTGCAGGAAATCACTTTGGAAAGGCCTGAGGGAACAGAGCACCGTAAGCCTTGCAATTTGAACTTTTTCTGTGGGCCATAGGGAGCCATTGAAAGTTAAAGAGTCAGAGCGTGGCATGTTCAAAGAGGTGTTTAAGGAATATTCATTGGGTAGGATGCTAGATGCAGAGTGATCGGTTAGGGGGCTGTTAGAGTAGTCGTTTAGTCATGGAGCCAAGGATGGCAGTGGCTACAGAAGGAGGGGTATCTCTAAAGAATGAGCAGGGGCTGGTGACCGGCTGGATCCCCTTGTACGGGGAGGGGGGAACAATGAGGGCAGTGGTGTCAGGGACATGAGGGAGCTGGGAGGAGTGGAAACGGTGCTCTGCCAGGGAGTGTCGTGGTCCGGGAGAGAGTGGCCAGACTCAGCAAATAAAAGTGCAGGATGCCCTGTTAAACTTGAATTTCAGAGCAACAGCCCAGACTGTTTTAGTGTAAGTATGCAATTTGGGACATACGTACACTAAAACAGTATAGGTTGTCTACCATGTTGATGTAAGAAACATCCACACCCAGAGAGAATTTTTATGAGTTTATTTGAGCCAAACTGACAACATAAGCCAGGGAGCAAGATCTCAAATGTTCCAGAGAATAAGTTTGACAGCTTTTTTAATACACTTGAAAATTAAGGAGGGAACCTAAGGAGAAAGCAAGGCGGGAATTGGAGGCAGGGGTGTCCAATCGGTGGCCCGCAGGCCACCCAGGATGGCTATGAACGCAGCCCAACACAAAATCGTCAATTTACTTAAAACCGTATTTGATTTTTTTGTGACTATGTGTTGCAGTGTATTTATTGTGTGGCCCAGAAATGCCAAATTTTGGACACCCCTGGTACAGGATAGTTAACAAGATTAAGTGCTCTCTTGAGGGTGGCAGTGTGGTTTTGGCTTATTTCAAAGGTGTGTTAACCTAGATGCACAACGCGCGGGGCTTACTTAAGGCAGATAAACCTTTTACTAAAAAGGGTCATGAGTACCCACCATGACCTGCCCAGTCAGGAATTTATGATCAGATCACCCTGTGAGGTTACTTTCCATAGAAGTCCTTCTTTTTTTCTTTTGGCCCACAAGCTGGAATTCAAATTTAACAGAGAATCCTGTATTTTATCTACTCTATTCCAGGAAGAATCTCAGCTGGTAGTGGGAAAGCTGAGACAGGGGCTCAGGAAACAGTGAGGTCTGGAAATGCAGCCTGAGAGTCTTAGGGGGAGATGGTTGGAGTTGATGGATCTCAAAAAAAAAACGGGACACACACACACAGCTGGTAGGAGGAGTGATGCCTAGGGGCTACTCCTAGCCCATATGTCTTTGGAGAAATTAAAAAAAGAAAAAAAAAAGCACCGGTTCCTCAACAGATGAAAAATGGAAATCTACGGATTTAGACTCAGACACCTTACTGCCATCTGCTGGAAGGTTGTAGTAAACCCTGAAATCTCTGCTGTCTCTCACCTGAATGGCGCCCCCTTGTTGTGGCGCTCTCCGGTGTGCTTTTGCCCCAGTTCTATGGGTCTCTTACTTGGGGGCCTGGCCTTGATTTTGCAGGCTGCCCTGAAGGTCACAGGGCTGGGGAAATGTGGCAACCTGAGCCCTGTGTCACCTGTACCTGCCAGGTAAGGGAACAAGAGCCTGGCCCCAACCACCCATGTCCCTGCTACTCAGTGTACCCCAGGCCTGGCAGTGCCAAGCCCAATCTGGGGGCCAGGCAGGGCTGCCGCGGCCACCCAGGCACTGAGGCCAGGAGCCTGCGAGGCCAGCAGAGTGACTCAGTAACCTGCAGCGCAGAGGGCAGGAGGGCTCAGTGTCTGCCCCACAGGCAGGGACCGTGCGGTGCCAGGGACCCTCATGCCCGGTGCTCAACTGCCTGGAAAGCTACACCCCACCTGGGGAGTGCTGCCCCGTCTGCCGGCCAGGTGACCTGCCTACCCTGCCTTAGCCCCGGGGCGTCCAGCACCTAACTGGGGGTCCCGCCTACCCTCGGGTGGTATCCCCCCACCCTGCTCTCATCTGACCAGCCTGTCGTCCTGGCAACCCTCCCCAGGCTGTGAGCACGAGGGGCAGCTTTATGAGGAGGGGGCCAGCTTCCTGTCTATCTCCGACCCTTGCCTCCAATGCTCCTGCCTGGTGAGTCCCTCCACACCTCTGCCCAGGCCATGCTCCTCCTTGGATGTCCCCCTCCCCACCCTGGGGACACTCTTTCAGCCCCTCGCATGCCTTCCAAGGCCTGGTGCCAGTGAGCTTCACTCTCTGTCCTAACCCTGTGCCCCACCTCTGCGAGGGTGCCCGACCCCCGCCTGCCATACTCCATCTGGGAGCCAGGCCCAGAGGCCTTCCCGCTGTTGGTACATTGCAGAGGAGCCTGGTTCACTGTGTGCCCGTGAAGTGCCCGCCCAGCCCCTGCCCTGAGCCAGTCCTGAGGCCTGGCAACTGCTGCCCAACATGCCAAGGTAAGCCCCGACCCTGCTCTGGAGCTGGGGTGCCCGAGCTTGGATTCTGTCCTTGCCACGCTGTGGTTGTTACCGAACAAATGGTCCCGTGGTGGGGTGGAGTGCCCAGATGCTAGTACCGAAAAAACCCTGACCCCCCTCTCCCTGGGGTCCCTCGGTTGTTGGTCCTTTGCCCACCGCCCTTGGAATTATGGCTCTGAATGGCAGAGTTTGGTGCAAAGGAAAGGAACTATTTATTCAAAAGTTATACAAGTTTGATTAACGACTAAGTGTCTCTCTTAAATCTCAAAATCCCTTTAAAACACTCACCAGCACACACACTGTCCTGCCTTCCCCACTTTGCCCAGTTAGACTGGTCAAGCCTGTCAAGGGTACTGTCCTTCAGAAGAAAAAGAACAGAAGTCCAGGGTTTGGCTAGGCAGGCCTCTCGCGGGTCTCAGCACCATCTGCTGCGTCACCACGATCTCCAGCTCTTAATCCATAACCATGCGGCACATTTTCATGGCCCACTAACAAGAGTCCTTTCTCCCCTCTTGCTTCCCGCGTGGTCTTCACACTGTTCCTTAGAGTCTGTCTCTCTTTGTTTACGCAGGCCCCTGTCTCTCCTTCCTTTTCCAGTTGTGTTCTGCGTGAAGTCTTTTAAACTTTCCTGATGAGCCTTGGTGATATGCAAAATAATCCTCTTTGCATATGAGGAATGAAGCTATTCTGTTATTGACATGCAAAATGACTCTCAATGGCCCTGCTCAAGGCTCCCATCCCCCATGGCGGCCCGCCCTGGGGTGGGGAGAATATATTTCTCTTGGACACTCCAATCTCTGGACCCCATAACAAATACCCTTTGGGGGGCCCTGGATGTGCCCCATTACAGTTGTGGGCATCTGAGTGGGTTACTGTGTGCCTCAGTTCCCCATTTGTAAGGTGTGGATAAAGATATCCTACCTTGATAATGCTGTTTTCCGCTTTGTGTATCTATGATCCGAGGTGGGCCCTAGAAGCAAAGCCCTAGAGGGTGATACGGAGTCCCACACCAGTACTGCCCTAAAGGCAGGAATAGAAGCAGGTGCCAGGTACTAGAGAAACTCAGAGGAAGGAGACCTAATCCAGCCTGGGCACAGGAGGGAAAGCGTCCTGGAGTCCATGCGCCCTGAGTGAACCTTAAGGATAATGCTGTTAGCTAGGTGAAGGGTGGTATCAGGCAGAGGGCATCCCAGGAAGAGAGGGCAGCCAGAGCAGAGAGGCTTGGGATGGACACTTAAGAGTGTTTGGTAGATGTTAGGTGGGAAGGTGCAAGCAAACAAATCTTACAATGAGAGATGGGGAGGGGCCAGAGAGGGGCGGGAGATGAGCGTGGTCATGCTGGGTCCTGGGGAACTTGGAAGGGCTGGCTTGGAGCGTGGCTTTACCCAGCTTGGGCCTCCGGGCCGCCACCAAGGGAATCTAGGCAGAGGCAGGACCTCGTCTGGCCTGGGCTCAGAGGAGAGCCCTCAGAGGGCGTGTGGAGGAGGAGGGGAGCAGGCTGAAGCTGTGGCCCGGGCTGGCTCCCATCAAACTTCCTCTCTGCCCCTCTGACCCCCAACCCCAGGCTGCGCAGAGGGTGGCTCTCGCTGGGAGCACGGCCAAGAGTGGACTGCACCAGGGGACCCCTGCCAGATCTGCCAGTGCTTGGTGAGCCCCGACGCTGCTCCTGGGCCCCCAGGGCCACCATATTCATTCCTTCATTCCACTGAGCGCATCCCAAAGGCACTGTGAGGGGACAGAGAAGGGGAGGACCTGATCCCGGGTGCGGTGAGGGCAGGGGTGGGGTCCTGCCCATCTGTGTGCCGGGCTCTGAGCTCAGCAGGTGTACAGCACAGGTTTGTGAACTGCACTCAAGAAGCTTACGGGCAACAGGAGTGAGGCAGGGAAGACTGTGACAGACAGCGCAAGCTCCAGGGGCGGAGAAACGCGGGCTGACTTGAGGTGTCTAGAACTCTGTGCTCTGATCAGTAGCCACAGCTGCATGTGATCGCTGAGCCCTTGAAATGTGGCCGTCCAGTTTGAGATGGGCTTTAATTAGAAAATGCACACCAGCTTTTAAAGATTTAATATGAAAGAAAGGAATGTAAGATACCTCACTCACACTTTGTGTTGATTACATGTTGAAATAATATTTTGGACATATTGGGCTCAGTGAAACATATTATTAAAATTCAGTTTCATCTGTTTTTATTTTTTTTTAATTTGACTGCGAGAGACTTTCTTTTTCTACTACTAGAGAATTTAAAATGACATACATGGCTTGTGTTATATTGCTATTTGGGCTGCACAGCTCTAGAAAATCTTCCTGGAGGGGTGGTGTTTACCTGGGCCTTCGAGGGCAAGCAGGATCTAAGTAGAGAAAGAGGGAAAGACACTCCAGGAGTTATAGGCTGAGGATTTGTGACATCCTCACCCCTGATTCATGTGTTGAAATCCTAACCTCCAAAGTGATGGTATTAGGAGGTGGGGCCTTGGGGAAGGGCTGAGGTCACAAGGGTGGAGCCCTCCTGAATGGGATCAGTCCCCTTCCAGCGTCCAGCGTCGTGGTCCCCCTTCTGCATTGTGAGGACGAAACAAGGAGACAGCCATCTATGACCCAGGAAGCTGTTCTCAGCAACTGTGGGTACCTTGATCTTGGACTTCCCAACCTCCAGAACTGTGGGAAGTAAATGTCTGTTGTTAAGCCACCCGGTTTATGGAATTTTATTACAGCAGCCCGAATGTATTAAGACACCAGGTATAGGGAACAGTCAGGACAGAGCCTGGGGGAGGAAGGTGGGGACATGGAGGCCTGATGTTCAGGCAGGGTACACGCTGGGAAAGGCTGTTTCATCGGGGTTTGAAGCCATCCCAGAACAACGGCCTGCCAAGGACTAAGGACTCCATTATGAAGGTTGTGGACGCTTTTGCGACCATGTGCTTCTCCCGTTCACACTGACCCTCCCTCACACACCTGTGAGAAGTCACTGAGTCACTGGCTGCCCAGATGCTGATGGGGCTGAGGCAGTGAGCCCAGGTGTAGACATGAATGGCAGGGATGGAGTCTGTGTGGGAAAGGCCACGGTGCACAGCAGGAGCTCCTGTTTGTTAACTGCCAGCTTCCAGAGGTTAATGCCACATAGGACACTGAACTTCAGTAGCCAGCTAGGTTTCACATCTGTATTTGTTTCCTAGGACGGTTGTAACAAAGTACCACAAACGGAGTGGCTTAACCAACGGAAATGTGTTGTCTGGCGGTTCTGGAGGCCAGAAGTCTGAGGTCAAGCTGTCAGCAGCGTTAGTTCCTTCTGAGGGCTGCGAGGGGGCCTGTTCCGGGCCCCTTCCCCAGCTTCCGGGGTTGGCTGGCAAGCTTCTGTGTCCGTTGGCTTCTGCCTTCATCTCCACACGTTGCTCTGTGTGTGCGTGTGTCCAAATTTCCTGTTTTTACAAGGACACCAGTCACTGGATTGGGGGCCACCCCACTCCAGTACGACCTTAACTCCTTACATCTACAACAACCCTATTTCCAAATAAGGTCACATTCTGAGGTAACGGGAGGTTAGTGCTTCAACATATGAATTTGTGTTTGTGGGAGGGACACAATGCCACTCACAACATTCTCTAATAAGTGGCTAAGCTGGGACCCAAATGCTACTTCTGCCACTTGGCTGAGCTCTGAGGGCCCCTTCTCCTGCCCCTTCTGCCCCCTCTCAGGAAGGCCACATCCGGTGCCGCCAGCGAGAATGCTCCAGCCTGTGCCCATACCCTGCCCGGCCCCTCCCGGGCACCTGCTGCCCTGTGTGCGATGGTGAGTCAGTGGGTGGAGCTTGGAGGGGCTCCGAAAGCTGATTGACAGCCCAGGTGGGGCATCCCACAAAGGCCAGGCCATGGGCCAGTGGGAGGCTCTTGAGGAGGGTCTAAGGCAACTTCTTCCCAACAGGCTGTTTCCTGAACGGGCGAGAGTACCACAGCGGGGAGCCCGTGGGCTCTGGGGACCCCTGCTCAAACTGCCGCTGTGCCGTGAGTGTGGCTGCCCGGCAGGGAGGGCCTGGCTTCCGGGCCTGCCTCTCAGAAGCTGACCAGGCCCTGTTGGCAGAACGGGAGTGTCCAGTGTGAGCCTCTGCCCTGCCCGCTTGCGCCCTGCCGACACCCAGGCAGGATCCCTGGGCAGTGCTGCCCAGTCTGTGCCGGTGAGTGGGTGCGCTCGCGGCACGGGGGAAGGGGTAGCCACTAGCCAAAGAGCCCCTGGTGTGTGTCCGCGGGGTCGGGGCAGGGGGGAGGTGCGCTGACTTGGACCTACAGGAAGCCCCTTTGAACTAAACTACAGAAGAAACCCTTTACAAACCTGAGCCCCTGTCATCGCCAGGGAGGGACAAGTTCTTACCTCACCTCATGGCCAGCCAAGCACTGAGGCGGGGCTCCGGCCCTGGGGGGCGCGGAGGGCTGGCAGAGACCCCTGAAGGTGGCTGTCCTCATCAGCGTGGGAGGTGGATGTCAGAATGGAGAGAGGCTTCCCTGTCAGCCTCCAGCCACGTCCCCCCCATCCCCTCGTCCCCTTGTCTAGGCTGCGAGTACCAGGGACACTACTATCAGAGCCAGGAGACCTTCAGACTCCAAGAGGGCGGCCGCTGCATCCACTGCTCCTGCCAGGTAGGCAGTGCCCATCTTGAGCCCCAGATCTGTCTCGTCCTTGAGGGCCTCTCACCCAGCGTCCCTCCTAGGCCGGCGAGGTCTCTTGTGAGGAGCAGGAGTGCCCGGTCGCCCCCTGCGCCCTGTCAGACTCTGGCCCCCAGCTGTGCCCAGGTGTGTGTGGGGGAGGGGAGGAACAGCTGCGAAGGAGCGCTGCTTCCAGTGGCTGGAGATGGAGGGGTGCTCCTTCACAGTAAGGGGGGGCATTGCTAAATCCACCAACCCTTTCAGAATATATCCAGAGGCTGCTGTGGGGATGGCAAAGCTAGGACCTGGGAAGGGTCCTGTGGTCTGAGAAGGGGAGAGATGGGTAGAGGTGCCTGGGTTGCCATGGTGACAGCCCCCTTGCTGTAGCCTGTGTGCTTGACGGAGAGGAGTTTGCCCAGGGGGTCCAGTGGGAGCCTGATGGTCAGCCCTGCATGGCCTGCTCTTGTGAAGATGGGGTGCCTGTGTGCGGGGCTGTGCTCTGCTCCCCGGCCCCCTGCCAGCACCCCACCCAGACGCCTGGTGAGTGCCCGTCGTGATCGAGCGTTCATCCCCTGCTTTGCCCCGCTCGCACTGGTCACTGGGCTCTGACCGCCCCACCCACGCAGGTGCCTGCTGCCCCAGCTGCGAGAGCTGCACCTACCACGGCCACGTGTTTGCCAACGGGCAGAACTTCACGGACACGGACAGCCCTTGCCACACCTGCCGCTGCGAGGTACCTCCCCAGGCTCGCAGCCGCCCCGCGGAGCCCTTCCCTGGGCTCACCCACATCGCGCCCTCTCCGCTGCTCCCAGGACGGGACCGTGAGGTGCTCCTTGGCTGACTGTCCACCCACAACGTGCGCCAGGCCCAAGAGTGGACCCGGCCAGTGCTGCCCCCGGTGCCCAGGTAGGCGCTCACTGAACCTGTCTGGCCCGGGTCCCTAGGCCCTGCCCCCCAGGCCCTGCCCCCCAACTGCCCCGTGAGTGCAGCAGTTGCCTTAGAAAGCAACCGTCTTCCATGTTGTTCTCAGTCTGACGAAGCTTGGAACTCACAGGGCATGGGTGGGAGGGAGAGGAGAGATTATTTATTTTCATGTCACCATATCACCCTTCTTTCCCCTCCTACATTTCCTCTTCCAATAACCCACCACTCAGATACATTGGTATGTCTACCTGTATAACACACGTTCGTGCAGCAGCCGTTTGGTGCACCACGAGGGAGACTGGGTGCCGTAATGCAGTGTGCGCTGACCCCTGCCCGCGTGACGAGTGTGCTGGGGTGTGTCACAAGCACAGGCACGCACACGCAGGGGCCCTTGGGCTTTCACCGTTATAGGCACACACTCCTGCCTGCAGTGAAGGGGCCAAATGCATGTGTGCGCACAGACACACGTGTGTGCTCAGAGAGATACTCATGCCTGCATCACGGCCCCCTCTTCTCCATCAATGAGGACAGCTTCCAAGTGGCACTGCTGCAGCGGCCCTGGACTCCCCTGGCAGAGGGGCTGTCCACTGGCCCACTCCTTGCACCATCTGCCTTTGCCCCCCTCCCCCTCCCCCTGCCCAGACTGCACCCTGGAGAAACAGGTGTTTGTGCATGGTGAGAGCTTCTCCCACCCCCGAGACCCCTGCCAGGAGTGCCAGTGCCAGGAGGGCCATGCCCGCTGCCAGCCCCGGGCCTGCCCCAGGGCCCCCTGTGCCCACCCGCTGCCCGGCCCCTGCTGTCTGAATAACTGCGATGGTAAGGTGGACAAGCTGAGGGGGTCTCCTGGGATGGCTGGGCCCGATCTGTGGACATTTAGGGCTGGGAGGGCAGGACCTGGGACAACTAGGGTGTCTCCCAGACCTATAGCTGCTCCCTCCCCCAGGCTGTGCCTTCAGCGGGAAAGAGTACCCCAATGGAGCAGACTTCCCCCACCCCTCTGACCCCTGCCGTCTCTGTCACTGTCTGGTGAGTCTGCCCCCCCCCCACCCCTCCACGGGAGGAAGAGTCCGTGGAGTCAGGGTGGGACTTGGGGAGGCCAGGAGAAGTCCACCGCGGTGAGGTGGGAAGGGCGGGGGCCACCTCTGCCTCCCACCGCTAACCCGTGCCCGCTGCCACGGTCCCTCTGTCCACGCAGAGTGGCAATGTGCAGTGCCTGGCCCGCCGCTGCCCCCCACTGCCCTGTGCAGTGCCGGTCCTGCTGCCGGGCGAGTGCTGCCCGCAGTGCCCAGGTAAGAGCTGCCTCCCTTAGCCGCTGCTCCCCGGAGGCCCCCTCTGCACCCTCTCCCTGGGCACCCCATGACTCGCGCTTTCTGGCCTCAGCCTCCCCTTCCAGCTGTCCGGGGCCTGGGGACTTAGTCGCAGCGAGCCACCAGGAGCATTTCTTCCTGCCCGGGGACCCCTGCCACCGCTGCCTCTGCCTGGACGGCTCCGTGTCCTGCCAGCGGTTGCCTTGCCCGCCCGCACCCTGCGCCCACCCACGCCAGGGGCCCTGCTGCCGCTCCTGCGACGGTAACGCCCTGGCGGCGCCCCCTCGCGGCTTCCAGCGCCCCCGCCACCCGCGCTTTCCGCCTTGGCGCGGAGTCTGGCCCTCGCAGTCGCCCGCCGTGTTACTCGCTCCTCGGGCCCCTTTCTCCAGCCCCAGACGGGGCGCCGTCCCGCTATACCCCCTCCCCCTGACCTGGTCCTCCCTCGACAGAGTTCTCGCAAAGAATTTGGGGAGGCAGTGCCCATTTCGCGGGGCCTGGGGGACAGCCACCGTGGCCCCTAGCCCGGCCCTGTCTCCTGCCCACTAGGCTGCCTGTTCCAGGGGAAGGAGGCGGCCAACGGGGAGCGCTTCCCTTCGCCCACCCTCCCGTGCCACGTCTGCCTCTGCTGGGAGGGCAGCGTCAGCTGCGAGCCCAGGGCCTGCGCCCCTGCTCAGTGCCCCTTCCCTGCCAGGGGTGACTGCTGCCCGGCCTGTGACGGTGAGGGGCAGGGGACAGTGGGGGTGGGAGGGAGGACTGGGTTAGCGGCATCCTTACTGACTAGAGTGTCCAAGATGCGACGGTAAGAAAACGCACTGGCCTTACTCCTGCCTCTGACGCTATTTGTTTTGGACAGGTTACATAACTTTTTTAAATTTTTTATAAAACGTACACATGCATTTTATAAATGCGAATTTTTGTAAAATGCACATAACATAAAATTTACCATCTTAATCATTTTTAAGTGTAACTCTGGCCTAATTTTAACTCCTGTAAAAACGAGAGGGTTGAACAAGACCAGCTCCTCAGTCTGGTCGATCTCACGTTTGGCCACAGTTGTTTCTACGTACCCTCTACTCCCTGCGACTTTGTTTATTTACTATTTTCCTTCAAATTAACTCACTTTTAAATTTAAATTAAAAGGAGCCTTTATATCATACATTAAGTAGAAAATTAGATTCGCTAGGAATAGAATATTACCATAAAAATAAATACAATTAAAAATCAAATATTAAATTCAAGACAGATAGTTTTCCCTGCCAATGCTTTGAGCCTGAGACTCGCCCTCTTTTTTTCTTTTATTATTGACTTTTTTTAAAAAGAGAAGTTTTAGGTTCCCGGCAACTTTGAGAGAAAAGTGCAGACTGCCCCCACCGGTCCGCTGGCCCCACACAGAGGCAGCCTCGCTCACTCTCAGTGCGCCCCACTGGCGGTGCATCCGATACAGCTGATGGGCCTGCACTGACACATCCTTATCTCCCCAAATTCCCTCTTTGTCAAAAAAGTCAGAAAGTGTGTGGTGCTAAGGGCAGGCTGCTATACCCTGGGGGCCCCTCCCCTTCCTGGATTGATCGGAGGGCTCTATAGAGCCTTAGAAAGAGCATTGGGTCCAGGCCACCTGAGTCACCTCAGGCAATTCCGGCTCTCCGCAGGTTGGAAACGTTGGTGCCTTCTGGTCAGGCAGTGGCCTGCTGGGTATTTGGCCCTGGGGATGGATTCCATGTGGGTTTTCCCTATAGATGGGACAGGGAGGTATTTTTGCAGGCTGATGGGGGAAAAGTTTGCCCTTTGGCCAGTCTGACTGTCCCCGCCACTGTCTACTCCTTTGCCTGCCAGCCTGGACTGAGTCCTCCCTACCCCCATGGTCAGGTCTCTGGGGCCTTGGACTCAGGCCAGGTGCAAGCCCAGGGCTGCTGACTGCTGTCCTCTCACCCCTCTCTGCCCCCTGCCCGCCTCTCTTTGTCCTGTTTCCAAGGCTGTGAGTATCTCGGGGAGTCCTACCTGAGTGGCCAGGAGTTCCCAGATCCCCGAGAGCCCTGCAACCTGTGTACCTGCCTCCACGGCTCCGTGACCTGCAGCCGCCGGCCCTGTGATACTCTGAGCTGCAGCCAGCCGCTCACCCCACCTGGGCACTGCTGCCCCACCTGCCAGGGTAGGGCAGCACCTGCCCTCCCGCCGCCCCTCCTGGACTCCCAGCAGCCCGGAGTCACGTGGTCTGGCCACCGTCACCCCTCCCCTGAGACAGCCACACAGCAAATCCACATGCTGCATTTTCATTAGATGCCTGACATTAGACGCCATACCCTCCTCTCTCCCTGCATTCACCTCGCACTGACTGTTGGATTCACCAAATAATTGGTCCCTGCGCTTCCAGACCATCCTGCTCTTAAATGGTCTTGCTGTCTTTCTAAAATATCACATCATGAAACTCAAAACCACTCACCCCTGGCTGCGTGGCTCAGTTGGTTGGAGCATCATCCCCTACACCAGAGGGCTGTAGGTTCAAGCCCCAGTTGGGGTACATAGAGGAGGCAACAGACTGATGTTTCTCACATCGATATTTCTCTTTCTCTCTCTCCCCCTTCCTCTTTCTCTAAAATCAATAAACCTATCCTCAGGTGAAGATAAAAAACAAACATTCAATGGTTCCCACTGCCCTTGGGTGCATCAGGAGGGGCAGCTTCCTTAGCTCCCACCTGCCTTTCCAGGTGTGCCCATCCCCCCACGTCCCCTTCCCACACCTGTCCACAAGGACAGAACCTTCTCAGCAGCCTGTGATCCCACCTCCAGTCCTCCACGGCTTTCCCGTATGCAAACCTCACCACTTAGCCTGGCTGAACCTTCCCAGCCAATTCTCTCTCCTCAAGCTCCCTAAGCTTTGAAGAAGTCCCGGGGCCTGGCCATGTGTGTGCGCGTGTGCGTATGTGGGCATGCGGCGGTAGACAGCTTCACTGACTGCGGCTCTTCCCTCGCACCCTCTGCTCTGCCAGGATGCGTCTATCATGGGGTCACTGCTGCCCCTGGAGAGACCCTTCCTGACCCGCTTGACCCCACCTGCTCCCTCTGCACCTGCCAGGTGAGGTGGCCCTTTGGGAACCTGGTAACCTTTCATCCCTGATCCTCCTTTCTGGCCAGGTGTTCTTCCCTGCACCCAGGTCTCACAGGGTCCAGTCTGCCTGGGACAACTAGTGGGACAGGATTGGAATCAGGTCTCCTGGGCCAAGCGAGGGGGGTGCACCTAGCAGGCTCGGTAGGGGCGCCCCATCGTGGGCAGTGTGTGGCCTGGTCGGAGGGTGTGATGGCGCGGGAACGGGGAGTGGCAGTGTGGTCTCTCCCCCCAGGACGGTTCCATGCGCTGCCAGAAGAAGCCATGTCCGCCGGCCCTCTGCCCCCGCCCCTCTCCGGGACCTTGCTTCTGCCCCGTGTGCCACAGTGAGCTGCCTTCCACACATCCAGACCCCCATGCCCTCCCCTCCCCTCGCCCCTCCCTTCCTGCCAGGCCCGAGGTTGGACAGGACAAGGTGGCGCAGACCCCACCCAGGAAGCATGTTTCCCACAGGCTGCTTCTCTCAGGGCCAAGAGCACCAGGATGGGGAGGAGTTTGAGGGGCCCGCCGGCAGCTGTGAGAGGTGTCGCTGTCAGGTATGGCAGGGAGGTGGCTGAGGGGGCTGGGCATGGTGCCTCTAAGGCACCTGACTCAGGGAGCAGGTCACTGACCAGCACCTCCTGCAGGCCGGCCAGGTCAGCTGTGAGCGGCTGCAGTGCCCGCCCCTGCCCTGCGCGCTCCAGGTCACAGAGCGCGGGAGCTGCTGCCCTCGCTGCAGAGGTATGGCTGGCCTGTGCGGCTGCCTCCTTGCTTTGGCCCCTTGACCCTGTGCACTGCTGTCCACCCCACTTCCCTCCCCTCAGTTCCCCTCCAGTCTTCCCACCTCCCTGTTCATCCCTGGCCCTCCCACACCTCGGGCCTTGAGCCTTTACCTCGACCTCCTTCAGTCTTCCTACCTGTCCCCACCACTGGCCCGCCCAGACCATCTCCCTCTCAGAGCTGGCCCCTCCCAACCACACCCCAGTCATAATAATAGTAATGAAAACATTTATTGAGCACATACCATGAGTCAAACCCTGAGCTAAGTGCTTTACATATACCTCATTTAATCCACACAATGATCTTATCAGGTAGGTACTATTATTATTCTTATTTCACAGATGAGAGAACTGAGGCCCAGAGAGGTAACATAACTTACCTGTGGTTACTCAACTGACAGGTGGCAGAGAGAGGATTTGCAAGTAGGCTGCCTGATTCTAGAATAAAAGCCTTTCTTTCTTTTTTTTACAGGTTTTTTTTTTCTTTTTTAAAAAAAGATTTTTATTTATTTTTAGAGGGGGGAAGGGAGGGAGAAAGAGAGAGAAACATCAACGTGCAGTTGCCTCTTGAGTGCCCCCTACTGGGGACCTGGCCCACAACGCAGGCCTGTGCCCTGACTGGGAATCGAACCAGCAACACTTTGGTTCGCAGACCGGCACTCAGTCCGCTAAGTCACACCAGCCGGGGCTAGAATAAGAGCCTTTCTTTGCCTGCCTGCTACCCAGCATGTTATGATTCCAGAACCATAACAGCATCTCACTTGCCTATGAGGTGGGCAAGACAGGTGAAATCCCTATTTAATAGCTGAGGAGACTAAGGCTTGTAGAAATTCAGTTACCTTGGGCACATGGTAAGGGGTGGAGACTTCCATTCATTCTACAGGCACTCATTAGATGCCTGTTGCATGCCTGGTACTGGGCTGATGCTGGTCTACAACACGCAGTGCCTGCTGCCTGGCATTTGGTTTAGCAAGCAAGCAGGCATGAAAGAGAATAAGCCCAGGAGCTCTGACCCCAACCTCGTGTCTTTCCCCTCCGCCACAGAGGAGTTCTGCCCGGGGCCACTCTCCCACCTCATCCCTGCAGATCCCCCTCGCATGCCAGACCCACATGCCCCTCTGACCACCCAGGGTGGGTGACCAGGGGCAGACATACTGGACCCAGACTCCGAGCTCACCCCTGCCCACCTGGGACGCAGGCTGCCTGGCCCATGGGGAGGAGCACCCTGAAGGCAGTAGCTGGGAGCCTCCGGACAGCCCCTGCTCCTCCTGCATGTGTCACGAGGGTGTCGTCACCTGTGCCCGAGTCCAGTGTGTCAGCTCCTGTGCCCATCCCCACCAGGGGCCCAGTGACTGCTGCCCTCGATGCTCTGGTACTGGGAGCCTGGGGTGGGCTGGGTCGGCAGGGAGGCCGTGCCTGGTCAGCGTCTCCCTGCCTTGGCACTGGGTGGCACAGCCGGGCTTTCCCAGAAGTGGCCCCCATTCTTGTGCACACCCAAATCCTGGGGGCTGGGGGGTCCCTGGAAGACAGAGAACCGTACCCCTGGCATTGTAGCCAGGCTGAAGGCTCGCGAGTCCTATTCTGCTCTTACCTCACCCCCAAGACTGTGAGCATGAGGGCCGGAAGTACAAGCCAGGAGAGAGCTTCCAGCCTGGGGAAGACCCCTGTGAAGTGTGCATCTGTGAGGTGGGTGAGGGCCACGCTGAGGGGTGGGGCACTGTGGGGAGCCGGCACCGTGGGGGCCAGAGACAGGAGCGTGGCCCTGCGGCCAGGAGCTGAGCTGAGGCTTGGGGCAAAGAGCCAGCAGCGCCAGGAAGCTTGGAGTCAGCCAGGGTGCCCGCGCTGAGTGTGGGGAGGCGGTGGGCATGCCTGCCTGGCAGAGGGAAAGTGGGCGTGAGAAGGAGATGGAGGAGACACCTGGGAAGCGGTTGGGGTCATCGGGGAATCTGCGTTTGAAAGGTGAGGGGGAGCCAGGGGGAGGTTCTGAGCAGGCAGCCACATCATAGGTCCAAAGATTAGGCAGAGGGGTTGGGAGGAAGGTGTAGGAGGACCAAAGGCCACATGAAGGTTCAGGCCCAAATAAGTAGAAAGAGAAAGGGAAGTCATCCCTGAGGATTAGGGCACAAGGTGAAGAGCAAGTCTGCGGAGATGCCGAGTCTCTGAGGACTGGAGTCTGCCCGCCAGAGGAGGTGCAGCAGGACGATGAAGGGGTCTGGTCTCCAGGGGAAGAGGGTGGCTCAGCCTCAAGGCCGGGACCCTCCCCGCTTGCTTACTCGTTCCTGTTGCAGCTGCAGCCTGAGGGCCTTCCCAGCCTGCGCTGTCACCGTCGGCAGTGCCCCAGCCTGGTGGGCTGCCCTGCCAGCCAGCTCCTGCCCCCGGGGCCCCAGCACTGCTGCCCGACCTGTGCCCGTGAGTCCTCGATATAGGGGTAGATAAGAGGGTAGGGCTGCCACCCCCCAGGCTGACGCTGGAAGTGCCAGCAGCTCTCCACAGTTCCAGCCCCAGCCCTTGCCTGAGTCCAGTGGACTGTTCCGGAAGCCCATGCCCTGGCCCGTGAGGCTTGCACTGTCCCAACTGGAACTGGAGAAGCTGGCAGGGACCTCTTGACTCAAGCCAGGCGCACCTTGCCCAACAGGTGGCGCTGCAGGGTGGCAGCTGTGCCAGCTGCTGGCTTCTTGAGGGTGATGATGTCAGGACCAGAGGGGCAGTGAGTGGCCCAGCCACAGAAGTGGGGAGCTCTCTTCTTATCCATGTGCTTCAGGGAGAGGGAAAAGACTAACACTTGTTAAGCACCTCTTGCATGCCATGCATTGTACTTGGTTATTTTAGTAAGCAGTATCTCACTTAATTTTGAGCTACCCTGTGAGTTAGGCATTATTATTCCCTTTTTACGAGTGAAGAAACTGAGGTTCTGCGAGGTTGATTGTTCTGCCTAAAACGACGCAGACACTGAGGACTGGAACCTGGGGTGCCTGGCTCTCTGTGCGTGCTCATGCTGTTTCAGCCAGGCAATATGAAGGAGGCGGGACGGGGAGCAGGCGGGGCAGCCTGTGGTCCTTAGGGACTTCAGGCTTAGGAAGCCACTCTTTGTCAGTTCCAGGCACCCCCCCCTCCCCGCCCCAGTAAACTAGCAAATTTCCTTTTGAGAAGTCCAAGCTTTTCTTTGGTGAACCCAAGGGAAAGGGGATTTATCCTTCCTGAGCCAAGGTGATGGGCATATGGGTATGCCCTGGGCCCATGGGGGCCTGGGGGTGGGGTGGGTAAGTGAGATCAAATGGGCTTACATCCCCTGCGCCCCTTCTACACTCCACATCGCACTCTTGTCTACACAGAGGCCTTGAGTAACTGCACAGAGGGCCTTCTGGGGTCCGAGCTGGCCCCGCTGGACCCCTGCTACACCTGCCAGTGCCAGGTGAGCCCTCGTGCCTTGGGGATTCCCAAAGCCCTGCCTTCTTGCTCCTCTGTGGGCTGTGGCTGCGTGCTCTCCTGCAGCAGCTCCCGGCTTCCCACTCACCCTGGCATTTGCCCACTTGTCCTGACTGTCGCATTCTGCTAAGGCCCTGCTCCGTCCCTGCCATTCTCTATCTGTGGTGTTCACATGCCCTTCCGTAGGACCTGACTTGGCTCTGCATTCACCAAGCCTGTCCTGAGCTCAGCTGTCCCCCATCAGAGCGCCATACCCGCCTGGGGAGCTGCTGCCCCACGTGCCGGGGTAAGTGCCCAGCCTTGGCCTGCGTCCTCAGAGCATGAGCATAGGAAGAAGCCAGGAGGGGTGGTATCCATGGGCCCAAATGGGCAGCCCAGTTCTGCGCTCCGAATGCTGCTTCGCTGTTTTGTAGAAATGGAGGGCTATTCATTGGGGATGAAGGAGAGACCCATGAGGCAGAGGGAGGCAGGGAATGAAGGCTGGATCCTCAAGGCCTGGCCTGAGGCTTGTCAGTGGGCTCAGGAACCCCAGGCCAACGGGTAGGGTATTGCACGGCTGACCGGCAGCCCGCCCAGCCTGCCATGCACTCGATCCTCTGCATGCTGGCGGAAGAAATCAAAACCATCGGGGTGCTCAGTGGATGGGGTGGGCCCCCCTGCTGTGGACCTTCAGGGTGAGCTCCAGGGAGGAGGGATGCAGCTGGGAGGGCAGGGCTCCCCCAGCCCCATTTCTTCTCATCAGAATGTATGGTGGAGGCTGAGGGCCGGAGAGTGGCAGATGGAGAGAGCTGGCGGGACCCCAGCAATGCCTGCATTACTTGCACCTGCCATGTGAGCTGGCGGTGGGAGGGTTGGGGGTGGAGGATCTTGTAGAAGAGAGGAGCCTCAGAACACTGGGCCAACGAATCTGGGGTCTTTGAGGTAATTAGGAAAGAGCGCCCCCTCTGGGTGAGAGGGCGCAGAGACAGCCCTGTGCTGGGGCACAGATTTAGGGGCTGAACTTCATCCCCAACTTGAACAGGAAGTGGGTGGTCTTGTGGAGCAGGGCCAAAGAGAGAAGGGGCTGCTGCCTCAGACCCTGACCCGGAGGGCCCTCAGAAGTACGAGGCAGGGACCCCAGGTCCTACCGGAAGTCCCTAAGAGCAATGACCTCTGTCCTCAGCGGGGCCACGTGGAGTGCCACCTTGAGGAATGCCAGGCCCTGTCCTGTCCCCATGGCTGGGTGAAGGTTCGAGACGCTGGCAGGTGCTGTGAACGATGCCAAGGTGCGGGCCAGGATAATGGGGGAAGAAAGACCAAGGCTCAGTGAGAGGGACGGGCAGCTGACCCTTGCCCCCCACCCTCAAGTCCCCTCAGTCCCCGCCCAGTCGTGCGCGCACCAGGGCCGACAGGTGGCCTCCGGGGAACGCTGGACCGTGGACGCCTGCACCATTTGCTCCTGCGTGGCCGGCACCGTGCACTGCCAGAGGCAGCGCTGCTCGCCGCTCTCCTGTGGCCCTGTGAGTGCCGCGGTCTACCGCGGTGGTGTGAGTGGGCACGTGGCACCGCCACCCCACGCAATCCGGAGGGGAGGAGGGACCTGGGCTTGGGCTATGGCCGCGGAGCGGTGGGGCACCAGGGGCCTGCAGTTCCCGCGGCGACCACGAGGCGGAGCCCTGAGCCCTCCCGGTGAGTCTAGGAGCCCGAGAGCTCCTTGACCCTCAGGGAGTCTCTGCGTGGGGCTCCGCCGGGACTGCCGTGTGTGACCGGGTCTGGGGCGGAGGCCAGAACGAGGCCCCCGCCCTGAATCCCGGCAGCTGCTGCCCCCGCTGCCTGCCGCGGCCGGCTTCCTGCATGGCCTTCGGAGACCCCCATTACCGCACCTTCGACGGCCGCCTGCTGCACTTTCAGGGCAGCTGCCGCTACGTGCTGGCCAAGGACTGCCGTGGAGGGGACTTCAGGTGCGCAGCCTCCTGTGTCTTTTCTCTCCTTAACTCCCTGCACCCTCTCCTGCTGACCATTGCACTCGGGCGTCTCACACCGCAGTGTGCACGTGACCAACAATGACCGGGGTCGGAGCGGTGTGGCCTGGACCCAGGAGGTGGCGGTGCTGCTGGGAGAGGTGGCCGTGAGGCTGCTGCAGGGCGGGGAGGTCACGGTGAGGCGAGCAGAGGACCCAGGGGAAGGTCAGGGCCGCGCTGTCCATTCCTCAGTCCTGATGTCGCCCCTCCTCCCACCTCCCTTTTCCTCCAGGTGGACGGGCGCCGCGTGGCCTTGCCCTACCTGCAGGAGCCGCTGTTGTACTTGGAGCTGAGGGGGCGCACCGTGATCCTGCACGCCCAGCCCGGGCTCCAGGTGCGGCCAGGGCGAGTGGGGGCGGGGAGCCGGGAGCCTGCTCGGGCTTCGGTATCTGTGGAGGGAGTGGGGGTCACCAGCTACTTTATGGGCCACACTTGGCCACGAAGGGGAGAGTGTTCTGCTGGCTTCGGAGACCAGAAGAGGTATCAGCGTCGGAGACCTCCAAGTGCAAGGAAAGGAGCTCCGAGCCTGGTTTCTAATCTCGGCTCAGCCACCCGCACTCTGGGGCGCTTAGGCCTGTGCCCGTCCTCTTTGGGCCCCAGTTTCCTCCTTGGCAATACGGGGGAAGGCTTAGCTGAGGGGGTCAATGAAGGTCTCCTAGGTGGTTTCAGGATTCCTTCCCACTCCCATGTCAAAGAGTAATTCACTCCCCCACCTCCTGCAAGAAGCATAATTTGTAAAATCATAAAATAAGACTTGTCTATACTTATGATCCAGACCGTAATTGTGCTTTGTTCTCTGTACGGCCTGAATACCCACGAGACAGTGTACCTCTGGAAGTGGGTTGCATTTCACCTGGGGGCCCAGTTCAGGGAGGCAGACAGCAGGTGCCTCCCTGGGAGCTGTGGGTGGCCCTTCACAGATGCCACAGCATGTGCAAACTCCGCCCTGGCCAGAGCAGCCTCCCTTCCACGGAGAGCCTTCGTCCTGCAGCAGGGGGCGTGCTGACACAGTGCTCCAGCCTGGGTGGACCTTGGGCTTCTTGAGGTCCCTGTTTTGCCCTGCTCCCCAGTCCCGGCCTCTCCGCACAGGTGCTGTGGGACGGGCAGTCCCAGGTGGAAGTGAGCGTGCCTGGCTCCTACCGGGGCCAAATCTGTGGGCTCTGTGGGAACTTCAATGGCTTTGCCCAGGATGATCTGCAGGGCCCTGAGGGGCTGCTCCTACCCACCGAGGCTGCATTTGGGAATAGCTGGCAGGTGAGTGGTACAGGAGCCTGGGGAGCTGGGAGGCCTAGGGGCACAGGCTAGAGATGGCGCCGTTGAGTCTGCGTCTCAGAGCAGCCTTCTGGTGTGGCGGGTGGGGTGGACACAGGCTTTTGCACTTTTAGGGTGGTTTGGGAGCTTCTTGCCTGTCATGGAGCTGGAGGAGGCAGGATGGCCTGTTGAAAGAGGCTGCATCAAATGACTACTCGAGCCCAGCTTTGCTGCTTATGAGCTGTGTGACTTTCAAGTTACTTGCCTGCTCAGGGTCTTGGTTTGTTCCCAAAATGTAGACTAAGGGAAAGTAGTTGAACTTCCTTTCCTATTCTTGTAGGGAGGTTTTTTAGTATAAAACAAAATATTAGGTGGAAAGCGCTTTGAAAAGCAGCAGACAAAGGTCAGCTGTCCAAGGACGCTGTCATAGCGGGGCCACTTTCCCCACCTAGGTCCCAGAGGAGCCGGGACCTGGTCGGCCGTGTTCCAAGGGCCGCGAGGTGGATCCTTGCCGAGCAGCAGGTTATCGTGCCAGGCGCGAGGCCAACGCCCGGTGTGGGGTGCTGAAGTCCTCCCCGTTCAGTCGCTGTCATGCTGTGGTGCCACCGGAGCCCTTCTTTGCTGCCTGTGTTTACGACCTATGTGCCTGTGGCCCTGGCTCCTCGGCTGACGCCTGCCTCTGTGATGTCCTGGAAGCCTATGCCAGCCACTGTCGCCAGGCAGGGGTGACACCTGCCTGGCGGGGCCCCACGCTCTGTGGTGAGCCAGCCACGCCCGGCGCGGGATGGGGAAGGGGTGGTACCGAGGGCTCAGGTCCGGAAGGGGGAGGTAGAGGGAGGGCTGCAGGGGCGAGCAGGGCAGCTGGAGCTCTGTGACCCTGCCTTCCACTCCACTTGCAGTGGTGGGCTGTCCCCTGGATCGTGGCTTCGTGTTCGACGAGTGCGGCCCGCCCTGTCCACGCACCTGCTTCAACCAGCATGTCCCCCTGGGAGAACTGGCCGCGCACTGTGTGAGGCCCTGTGTCCCTGGCTGCCAGTGCCCCGCAGGCCTGGTAGAGCACGAGGCCCACTGTATCCCGCCTGAGGCCTGCCCCCCAGTCCTCCTCACTGGGGACCAGCGTCCCAGCGATCTGCTCAGCCCCAGCCAGGAGCCCTGAGGGGCACCCTGAGCCAGGATGACACCAACCAGGACTCGTCAGACCAGAGGCCCTTCCTTGGAGAGCAGCTCCCACGCTGGCCAGAGCTTCAGAGAGGGCGCCCTGCCAGGCACCAGGAGCCTAGGCCTGTGTCCTGCAAAGACCCCAGCCGTGTTGAGTCAGAAGCAGTAAACTCAGGGCCTGTCCTAAGGGTGCCTTGTGTGTGCGTGTACTTCCTCCTGGCACTGGGGTGTTGGCACAGGCTTCTTGGAACATGGGGGCTGGAAGTCAGTGTCCCCAGAGCCAGAGTGCTGGCAGCTGTGGGGAGCCGCTCTGCACCGTGCTCACTCTTGTACCTACTTTCCTGGGCTGCCCCCACCTACCACACCCTGGAGCTGGGTGGGACCCTCTGAGGATCCATGTGGAGTCCTGCAGGGCCTGAAGTACACAGAGAAAAGGCCCAGTCCCCACATGGCACTCCCTCTTCTCTTGGTTTGGGGATACCAGGTATTCAGGTGTCTCCTGGGGCAGTGTGAGAGCTGGCGAATGAAGGATACACTGTGCCTGGGGTGGGGACAGGGCTGTGCTGAAGTACAGACACATGTGCAGACGTACACACACCCCACATGCATGTACACCTGTGTGCATTAATTGCCACACACCCCTGATGGCAGTGTGGGCAGCGCACACACGTGCCACTTTCAAAGACACCCTTGTAGGGGAAAGAACATAAGTTTTGAAATTAAAAACTATTTCTTCCCTGACTGGTGTGGCTCAGTTGGTTGGGTGTTGTCCAGCAAAGTGAAGGGTCACCGGTTCGATTCCTGGTCAGGGCACATGCTTGGGTTGCAGGTTCGGTCACCAGTCGGGGTGCATGAGGGAGGCAACTGATTGATGTTTCTCTTTCACATCAATGTTTGTCTACCTCTTTTTCTCCCTCCCTTCTCCTGTCTCTAAAAATAAATATTTAAAAAAAGATTTCCTTAAAAAAATATCTTTTTCTTTTTTTAATTGATTTGAGAGAGAGGGAGGAAGAGAAGGCAACATTAATTTGTTCCACCTATTTACGCATTCATCAGTTACTTCTTGTATGTGCCCAGACAGGGGATTGGGATGATGTTCTACTCAACTGAGCTACCTGGCCAGGGCACAAGTATATTTTTAAAGTGACCTCTATTTTGAGCTCTCTTTGCCACCTACCGGCTATGTAACCTTGATGTATTAGGACCTTGGCTAAAAGACCAAGAGGGACCCTATTCTCATTACTAGGTCCCTAACATTTCCACAGGAGTGAAGGGAGCATGTTGGGTGAATTGAGAGCATCTCACTGCTTGCTCTGCCAAGGCTGCTCTCTGGGGCTCCCTTGTCTGGTGCAGCGATTAGGAGTCGGCAGGCAGGCAAGTCTGCTCATGACAGCAGAGACTGCGGAGATGACAGGCCACGTCGTGTATTCGTTCCCTTCCCTAGTCATACCATGCAAACTGTCTTCATCTGATGTATTGCAAGGGATAACCAGAACGACCCTTGAACAGTGCTCTGCATGGGGGCCGCTTGCAGCTGGCACTAGGGAAGCACTTGCCATTGTCCTGCCTGTTGCCATTGTCCTGCCTGTCACAGCGCATGCTCAGGGGCCATGTTTTTCCAGGGCCTGTTCATCCTGGCCTTCCATCTCCAGGTGAGGGAGACAGCGCCCCATGCCACATGTCAGCTTACTCTCTGGGGTCCAGTGTTCTGAGCTGTAAAATGGGAATGCGAACTATAGCACCTGTTTCATCACGTTGCTGCGAGGAAGAAACACATGTTTGGAGCGCTTGTGCCCTGGCTTAGAGTCAGCTCTTGGTAGCTGCTGCCCATGTTGAGCACGTCAGATGCCTATAAAATAACACAGCTTCATATGTATACATACGTATGTGGATGAAAAACAGATACTCATTTGCGATTGCAAACAAGCACATGCACACGCCTCTCCCTGGCAGGATCCCACTCCTTACCCTACGCTGCCACCTCCACGACCAAGAAACCCTTTTCCGAGTCAGGCCCGTGTCTCTGAGCCTTGGCTGGGGTCCAGGCCGTGGCTCAGATGTCAGGGCCCTGCATTATTGAGCTCAGGAGCTTTGTCTCCTTGCTCCTGTGTGCCTCTCCTGGTCCTGCTCTCTCCAGGCTCCAGTGGCACAGGGAGAGGGGAAGAGAGGGGTCGTCTGTCCTGGCCCCCTGCCCCATGGCTCAGGCAGCCACACCTGGGGACCGAGGGCTCCCCTGTAGCCCCAAGGAGGCCTTGGCTCTGTACCAGCACCTCTTCCGGTGCCCCGCAGACCTGGGCCAGCTCCGGACTGCACTTCGGCAGGTGAGGGAGGCAGGCACTGACTCCGAGGGGATAGGCTTTCCGGGGGGCCTGACCCAGCATTGCCTCCCCAGGTGCAAGAGGGCCGGGTGTGTCTCCCAGGCCTGGAGCTGCCCACCGTGCTGCTGGAGGTGGAGCGGAGCCGGCGGGCCCAGGAGCAGGTAGGGAGGGGCTGGCTGGGGGTCGGCAGAGGGCAGGGTGGGCACCCCCTCACGTCCCCACATTCCCATCTTCCTGCAGCTCCTGTGGGACTTGGAGCTGCTGACTGGGGTGCGACTGAGCCTCTTCTGGCCTCCCCGGGCCCAGTTCCATGGTCTGCGGGACCAGGCCCCATGTGCGTGGAGCCAGCACAGAGAGCTCTGTGGTCAGATGGGCGTGGGCTCCAGGCAGCTGCGAAGTGGGGTGAGCAGGGGGTCAGTGTGACGCTGGGGGACAATCATAGGGGTGAGGCAAGTGGATGGAGTCTGGGCTTTGGGGACAAATGGATCTGGTTCAGGTCTCTGCTCTGACGCTCTGCGTGGACTGTAAGCCTCTATATACAAAATGGTGGAGAGAACAACTTTCTCAGAGGGCAGCTGGGAGGAGCTTTGAGCTTGTCCGTGCAAAGGGTTTGGCGCCAGCTTGGAGCGCAGGGCCTGCTTGTTCCGTGCGGGTTGTTACCATCCCACGGTTAACAACCACCGCGGTCAAATCTACGGTGTGACGATGCCTAGACACGGCCACAGCGCAGGAGGGAGGCTGGCCTGGCAGAGCCCCGGGGTGGAGGCGCCGATGCCCAGGGTGCCTCTGACAGGCGGCCCTGAGCAGCCCCAGCCACGAGCCCCTCCCTGCAGGGCCGGTGGCTGGGCCGACCCCCTAGGAAGAAGGGTGCGGTGGTGACTGGGAGCTCTGACGGTGCCTCCAGTCCAGCTCAGCCACCAGCTGCTGAGGCGCCGTGGGCCGTCAGCAGCCGTCTCCGGGCCAAGGCATCCTCTGCTGTGGCAGGAGGGTGTGTCAAGCGAGGTGTCCAGCCAGCCTTGTCGGCCAGGCTCATCTGAAGGCTCGGCTGGCCAGGAGGGCCCCCTTTCCAAGCTCCTTCCCCGGGAGGGGACATGGAGAGGGTCACCCAAGGGCATGGATGCCAGGAGAAGCATCTCTGGGGGCCATTTTTGAGGCTGCCTACCACAGTGGTGCCCCGGGGACTAGGCCACCTCCAAACCTTTCCAGGATTCTAGGCCATGCTTGTCGCCCCAGGCTGGGGACACCCTGAGCCAGTGCCCGCACTTCCTGGAGGGGTGAGTCTTTCTCCCAGGGAACTTGTGCACTGCATGTTGCCACACAAAGTGGCCAAATCCGGGCCCCTTTCCTGGTCTCCTTCCACGGCCCTGGCTCCTCCTGGGGCTCTCACTCAGGGGCAGCCACATGGTGGCCCCACAGCCCCTGGTCCAGCTCCCAGGATCCAGTGGCGGGGGCAGGGGTGGCGGCAGGCTGCCCTGGATTGAGTTTGGATGTTGGGGTGGGAAGGCTCAGCTGCCTGCTGGGGGCAGGGAGACTGGCAGACGGGCTGTTCGCCCTTCCGGAGCCCAGATGCAGACGGTGCATCTGAGGCTGCGCTCCTGCAGGTGGCAGGCCGCAGACGGGTCATCAGCCCCAGACCCAGGGGGAGCACGGGGTGATGCAGCCCCAAGAAGGAAGAGCCCGGGCATGTCTGCAGAGCCCACACCTGGTATGGCGACGGGAGGGGTCAGCAGCCAGCACAGCGGGAGCCCCTGGGCTGGGGTGGCCGGACTAGACTGGGAGGAGGCAGGGAAGTCCTCACCCTGAGTCCCAGGATACCAGTCCACTCCTCTCTCATTCTTCGTCTCACACCTTTCTGTTGGGCGTCGGGGCACCCAAGGACGACAAGTAGGTTTTATTTTACGTGCCAGTTCCCCTTGATTGGCAGCGCTGGTCTCAGGCACTGTATCCAGGAGGATTCTGAAGCTAAGTTGGGACTCAGGGGGTAGAGATGGGGAATGTCTGTCCACGGCTGCTCAGAAAGGAGGGGATGGAGGAGCCCATTGGCCACACTTAGGCCAGGCACTGGGGGCACATCAAGCACAAGAGAGTCTTGGCCCTGTCACTTGGTCCTTGCCTCTGAGACCACAGCCTAGTGAGAGAGCGTGACCATAAACGGTGATTAGAATCCAGTGGGATAGATGCTGTGAGCCCTGGACCTGCTAATTTAAAAGAAACCGACTCTCAAAGGATCTGTTAAATAATAAACCCAGCAAAGCCATAAGCTTTTAATTATTCCATCGTGTGTGAGTGAGAAGAATAACGTGCCAATGATTATTTCTGATTGATAGAGAAATTTTTACTATGTTTTCTCTTGGGAATATGGAGATATCAATTACATGATTACCAGAGAAATAAATGATCTAGGAAGAATACAGACCAAATTACAGGGGAAGGGGGTTGGAGGTTTTCTCAGTTCATGGCCGTAATCTCTAAAGGCTTGGGAATCTTATCAGACCCCTTTGTTCAGAAACTCTTCAAAAGACAGATATTTTCAGAAAACATTCTCTTTTGGTTACTGTTATGAATATTCCCACACCCATATTGCATAAAGATGGACTGTTCTTGTGAAAGGTCTCCATCTAAGACCTTACGAAATCAAGCTCTTTGAACTCATTTCCTGGATGCTGAGTGACTTTGCTCCCCCCACAGCTGCAAGGGAGCAGCAACATCTAGTCTCCTGTTTCAGATTCCTTTTGTTAATTATAAGACGTTGCAGTTTTGAGGCACAGCTGTGGCCTAAAATTTTACTTCTTGAATCTCGTTTGATTTAGTTGTCAGAAACCAAGAAAGAGCTAAGGGAACTTTCCTTAATAATAGTAAAGGTACATGCAGTGGGTTTCTTTATGGGCCTGGGCAGGCCCATCAGGACACAGTGAGGGTATCCTTCTGAGGCCCTTCCTGCCCCAAAGCATCCCGTGGTGGAGGAAGCGTGTGCAGGTCCCGAGCGAGAGGCGGTCGCCTTAGCTGGGAGGATAAGGAAGACCGTTGGCTGCAGGCCCACAAGCCTGGCAGGCAGGTACATATTAGGCTGTGCAAACAAAGGTGGAACGATGAACTATGAGAGCCTCAAAGTTCAAACATCAGCCCCCTGGATACCCCCTTCCTCTTAACTGCCAGGGATGCCCTAGGCTTCTCGGTTCTAGTTCAGGTGGAATGTGTGTGAGGGGCTGGGACCTGAGCAGAGGGCTCCTTACATCAATCTTTCTCCCTCAGGTTGCTTCCAAGGGCTGGACCCTGCCGCCAGCAGTAGCTTTGCGGAACCAGGAAACTCAGAGTTCAAGGTGAAGGGGTCAGCGGGTCCTGGGCCAGGGCCCTCTCAGTCTGGGGACAGCAGGGGTGGGTGGGGTCTGCCTTGGAGGAGGCTGTTGCGTTGAGGCAGGGCCACCTCCTATAGCCAGGTGGAAGAAGGGACCATCACTGAAGCACCTTTTACACTACATAACGTGGGTGCAACAAACTCAAGAATCAGGCCAGGGCCCTAATGGAAGTGAAGTCCGGGGACGGGGTCGGCAGGGGGTGGGGGGCGGAGCAGCCACTGGGGTCTGCAGGGGGAGGCGGCCCTAGCACAGGGATTCCCTCGCAAGTCCGGAACGAAGTGTTCTTCCTTCCCAGCACCCGGTCCTGACCGAAGAGAGGGGCCAGGCAGAGCCCATGACCCAGAGGCCCCTTCTGCCGTCCTCCGGAAGCCGAGGGGGCAGAACGATCACCCAGGAAGCCAGGGGGGGCGCCGGCCTGCCAGAATCCCAAGATCCTGCCGAGGGGCTGGGCTGGAGCTTGAGACAGGACAGAGAAGAACTTCAGAAACTGCTGGGGATTGAGATTCCTCAGAGTCAGAGAGAGGAGAACTCTCAGGAGGAGAAAGAGGAGACACCTCAGGGCCAGGGAGGGGAAGCCCCCCAGGGAGGGTACAAAGAAGCTCCTCAGAGTCAGAGCGAGAAGGCAAACCAGGGTCAGAGTGCGGAGGTGACTCAGGCTCTGGGACGTGAGGTCTCTGGGGCTCTGGAGTGGGAGGCCCCTCAGGGTGAGAACAAAGATGCTCTTCAAGATCCAAAAGGAAATCGCCCTGAGTGCCCAAGAAAGGAGACCCCCCAGAAGCGGGAAGTGAAGGGCCCTCTGTCATCTGAAGGCAGCCGCCTGATCTCCCAAGCCTGGGAGGTGGCTCAGGGAGAGGCTGGTATACAGCCCAGGGAGGAAGGGGACTCCCAGGGAATTTCAGGGAATTTCTGCAAGTCTCCAGGAGAACAGATATCACAGCCTGGGAGACAGGACAGCCCAGGTCCCAGAGGAAGGGACATCCAGCTGACACAGGAGAAGACCTGCGGCCGGACACAAGAGACGCCCCTGGCCACGGGAGAGCAGCAGGCCGGCCCAGGCAGCGCGCTGGCTCCCCTTGCGCCAAGGGGGCCCCTGGCCCAGCTGCAGCTCCCCAGCCCAGGAGCCGTGATGCTAATGGCCCTGAGTACTGGGGGCTCTGAGCAGCAGGAGCGCCCTACAGCTCTCTCGGGGCACCCAGAGCTGGTGAGCAATCGGCACGGGTTGCAGGACCCGGGAGGGGGTCCCGGTCCGGCGGAGCAGCAGGTGGGCGAGGCACCGGGGCCAAGGGCGGACGGCTCCGTGAGGTTCCCGGGCCCCCTTGAAGAGCGGACGGACGCTGCCGAGGGCCCCAAGGCCTCGAAGGCCGCGTGGCCCAGGCCCCTGGGCAGGGAAAAGGCCTCGGCGGGCGTGAGTGCGGCGCAGTGGGAGACGGCCCTGCAGCGGCTGCTGGAGCTGCAGGTCGCGGCCAGGCGCCGGCGGTGGCAGGACCGAGAGCAGCAGCGGCTCCGGGTGCGTTCCTGCACTGGGTGGGACCGTGGGCAGGTTGGGCACAGAAAGGCGGCTGCTGGCCGCTGACAGCTCTCAACCCCAGGTCCTGGACCGCCTCCGCATCGCCAGGAACCGCCTCTGCCGGGTGCATCCCCTGGGGCCCCCACCCAGCCCAGCTCAGCGCCTGCCACAGGCAAGACCCCCGGGAGAAGGTGGCGAGGGGCAGGGGTCCAGCTGGGTGCCACCTGGGTCCCGTTGACGGGCACGCGCCCTGCACTTGCGCTGACACCCACAGAGGGGCGGGGTAGGGGGAGCCTGTCTGGGTGCTGCCCCCTGCTGGCTACGTCGAGCCCTGGGCTGAGATGCAAGGGCGCTCAGCGCTCTGCACCGCCCAGGACACGGCCGGGCAGCGGCGCGCCCTGCGGGAGCTGCTGGAACAGGTGCACCGGGAGAGGACTGGACGGCTGCGGGCCCTCGGAGCCAGGTGAGGGAGGGCGGGGGAGAGGCTTACGGAATGGTGGCTGTCCCCTTTCCTTGGCATCTGGGATAATTGGCCACTCTCTCCCCAGGAACACCCAGAACTTCCAGCAGCTACTGTGCCGCCCTGGCGCTGAGGAGCCTGCGCCTGGAAAGTAGTGCTCACCCTTCCCAGCCCCTCTAACCACTGCTAAATCTTCAAAAGGGTGATTGAAGAGGTGGGGGTTAAGGGAAAACAAGAGGGCAACCTGCGGATCAGCGGTAGTTTCAAAAAGGCTCATGCCCTGGCTGCTGTGGCTCAGTGGACTGAGCGCCCGCCTGCCTGTAGACTGAAAGGCTGAGGCCCGTTTCATTCCTGGGTTGCAGGCCAGGGCCCCAGTTCGGATGTGCGAGAGGCAACCGACCCATGTTTCTCCATCCATGTATCTCTCACACATCAATGTTTCCCTGTATTCCTCCTTCCTTTCCCCTCTCTCTAAAAATAAATAAAATAAAATGTTTTTAAAAAAGGCAGAGTGCAACCTCAGGGTCTGGGAGAGCCAGAGACTCACAGACCCACAGCAGTTTCGGTCCACCAGGTGGCCTGCGGTTTATTCCCAGCCCTCACACACTGCCCGGCCCAAGGTCAGAGGGCCAGGTCGCGGGGGTCAAGGGGCGAGAAGGCCCCGTTCTTGCGGAAGAACGATTCAATGCGACACGTCTTGCAGGAGACCAGTTCTTGCTTCGCTGGTGGGCCTGGCAAAAAAACGTCAGAGGCCAGACATGGGTTCCTGGGAAAGGAGCTCGCAGAACATGGCAGCCCCGTTTGCCCAGCCCGAGGTATCTGACAATATCGTATCCACTTTGTAAGTGTGAAGACATAAAAAGCGCTTCTGAGGCGTGTGCAGGCTGTGGGCAAACAGGGAGCAGGCTGGGTGCCCAGAGCAGCAGGGCCGTCACTGCCCCAGCCTCGGGATCCTCCACGAGAGGGGTGGCAGGACACCCGGCGCTGCTGCGCAGGGACAAAGCTAGACATCCCTGGGACAACTGGAGCTTTCTTCTACCTCCTGCTTTGGCTGGAAATTGTTCCCTCTACTTCCCTTTTAGGACCCAGGGGAAGCGGCGCCAGGGTGGGGACTTTTTAGGCAAACTTTGAACTATGTACCACCAACCATCCACCAGTTCTGTGCAGGCACTGCAGCTGGAGAGAGACACATGACTGAGTAGTTCACTTGAAACTCATGGCCACCGAGAATGGAGGGACACCCGGCACCACCCGCAGTCCCGCGCCGCCCCTCGGCGTGCTCCTTCTCCCACCCCCTCTCCTTTTCGGACTACGCCACTGCTTCTGCCCGTCTCCCCGTGATGACCGTGACACAGCCTGAGGAAGCGTCCCGCGCCCCGATGGACACCAGCACCAACTCCCTGCCCTCTGTGCCCCCTGCCTGTCCTCCTGCCGGACTTCAGTGGCTAGCGCTCCCTGATGAGCTTGCCCAGTCTCGGGGCGTTGAAGACCTCCTACTTTCTGATGACCCCCAATCTGCGCCTTCAGCTCTGGCCTAGCCCCAGGGGTCACTTCCATGCACGGCTGCCTCGCTGACACAGGACCAGCGCTGACCTGTCTGCACACACCCTTCAGCCCTGCTCCTCTCCTGGTCTTCCCTGACACAGCTGCTTCCGCCAAACGCTTGGGCGTCATCAGTGCCTCCTCCCCTTTCTCTCACTCAATCCATCAGGAAGTTCCACTGAGTCTCCCCCCAGAACACACGCTGAATCCCCTCCAGCTCTGCTAATCACCCCGGCCAAGCTACCATGTCTTATCAGGGAAACTCAAAAGCAGCTGCCTACTCATCTGCCTGGAAAAGCCGTTACCTACAGAGCAGTCAAGATGGTTTTTCAGAAAGTAAATCAGTGTACTCACCTGCTTAAAGCCTTCCACTGGCTTCCCCTCACACTTAGAATACGTCCCAAACTCCTCCTCCCTGTCATTTAGCTCTCAGCCTTAGGTCCCCGGGTGTTTCCCAACAATCCCACCTGAAGCAGCGCACACACCCGGCTCCCGCCCATCCCTATCCAATCTCATCCTGGAACTCCTGCCTCTCAGGCACTTCCTTGCTCTTGTGGATGCCCCAGAATGGAGTGTCCATGTGTCTCGTGTGCCTAGTGCCCAGCACCCTGCCTGGCTCATGGCAGGTGCCTGTTTGTGAGGTAATTTCCAGGTCGGGGCTTACCCAGCTGCCAGCCATACATGAAGCTGGTGGTGATGGGGAAGCGGTAGCGCATCTCTGGCATGTCCCGTTTGCGGGCGTTGAGGTAGCGGTAGCGCCCCTGGCAGTCGTGGGAGATGCCTTCATACAGCAGGGCCCGCGTGGCAGGCAGTACCGGGTACATTTCTGACTGCAGAGGAGCCTCCAGGGCAGGGCCGGGGCCCCTGGAAGGGACCACTTTGGGGGCCGGTGGGGGTGAGAGTGGGGCTTTGGGATGCAGGGTGGGCAGTTTGAGGGGTAGGCGGGCTGCAGCCTTAGCCTTCTGCTTGGCCTTCACCATCGATCCAAACTTGCGGTGCCATTCACAGCGCAACATCTTCTCCCTCAGAAATTCCTCCTTCCAGAAGTTCTGCCGCACCGTATCCATGCTGAGCTGCCGCAGCATGGTGGTGAGAGGAGAGGCACCAGGGTGGCTACAGCGGAGGGGTGAGCACGGCAAGAAGAGTCCTTCTGACAGCAGACGCTGCCCAGGGACAGTCACCAGGCAACCGAGCCTCACCTCACACAGGGCCAGGGTTCTATTTGCCATGCCCTCGGCAGACCCTACCTGCATCGCTTCCCGAGGCAGCCTCAGGCCCAGCCCACTGGCTAAGAGCTCTGACCTCCAAACCTTTTGCAGGACCCGGACCCGGTCTAGTATCACAGGTTTCCTATGCTTTCTGCTTCCATCCCTTGGGGTCAGGTCCCCCCCCGAACCCAGCCAATACAGACTGAAGTGGGGGAGCCAGGGGTCTGGGCACAAGCCTCTTCCCATTCCTCCCTGCCAGAGCTGATGGTCTTTGATTCAGAGGACCAGTTCCTGAGTTACGGCCTCCAGGCACAGTCTTCCTTGTCCACCTCCTCTCTGCCTGGATCTCTGACAGAACCCTTTCCACCCCTGCCTGTCGAATCCCTCCCATAGCCTCATTGCACACGTGTCCTTTCTAGCACCCAGGCTCGGTCTGGAGAGAAGCAAGAACGTTATTTTAATTTAACATCAACAATGACACTGTGTAACAGTACAGGAAAGAGGTAGTGGAGAGCAAAGACAATCATGCTTCCTGTTCCCTCACCAGTCTTGATTTTAATGGCAGAGCCCCAGCAACATGGAAGCACCTCGTCTAGTCTCTCGACGGAGTGGGAAGGGGCACGGAATTGGAAATCAGGAGCTCAAAACTTAGAAAGGGGCCGATGCCAAGCGTGGGAGAGGTGGCGGGGCCATGGGTGGTCCCTTAGCGCAGGTCTTCAGCCGTGAACATGCCCCTGGCCCTGCGCAGGATGGAGTCCTTGGCAGCATCATAGGGGTGCTCCTTGGACGGGATCTCAAGAACAGCCGGGATGGAGCGCTGGTGGGCGTCAAGTGCATGCCGTACCATCTCCGCGATGTACTGGTTGATGAGGATGATGCCGATGTCGTCCCGGTTTAGAAACTGCCTGTTGGAGACATGAGAAGGGAGCCCATGGCAGCCCACCCCAAGTTAGCGGGTTGGGCTGCAGGCAGGAATGGGCTTCACCCAGAGAGCACAGAAGACAAGGGTAAAGGTTGCTACACAAAACTCTCCATCCTGCCCTGGCTGGTATGGCTCACTGGACTGAGTGCCAGCCTGCGAACCAAATCGATTCCCAGTCAGGGTACATGCCTGGGTTGCAGGCCAGGTCTCCAGTAGGGGGTGGGCGAGAGGCAACCACACATGGCCGTTTCTCTTTTTTCTTCCCTTCCCCTTTCTAAAAATAAATAAATAAAATCTTAAACTCTCTCTCTCTCTCTCTCTCTCTCCAGAATCAATTTCATACACAAGCTAAGGGCTACAGTGATCAGGGGTGGCTTCTACATCCCCTGCTTAAAAGCTCCCAAGTACACTGGTAATAGTACACTGGTAATAGTACACTGGCAGGTGCATACAAGTGTATTCCACATGCAGCCTTTGTGTAAGGAAGGGGAGGAAAATAAACATGTCCGTTCCTTTGTGTTTGCATAAAGAAAAAGCGGAAAGAAGTGGGTATTACCTCCCTCCTCCACGGAGGTAATAAGGTAGAAGAGGACAGGGATAGGAGTGAGACAATGTGTATACTTTTTAAGTATTAATGTGCAAACCACAGGAATACATTAGCTTTTCAAAGGCAAGCAAATTAAATTTTTTTAAAAGAGGGGGTTGATGAGATCACTAAAGGCCTCAAGGTCTATGGTGATGAGGACAGGGACGTGTCATTGGGGAAGTCTGGCATGAGCCAAGAACATAACATGGTAAGAGGAAAATCAGTAACAAAGGAATCACACTTTCCGCACAGAGGGAACTTGGCACTGGGATTTTCCTTTCTTGTGACCACCCACTCATTCATTCATTCATTTATCCATCAATACTATTTACTTTGTATTAGAAAACTGTACACCTGAAATTTGTTATTAACCAATGTTACCCCAGTAAATTTAATATTAATAATTTAAAACAACTATTTACTGAGCACTTACTCTGTGCCAGACACTAGGGTAGGTTAGACTTGAGCTCTGAGGTCCCTTTTGTTTGGAAACATGGCAAGTTCTTGAGGTAAAGTTTGTCCTTCTCCCATGACAACTTGGGTCACTTGACCAGACTGCTCGGACATCACCTTAGAGATCAGCCTCCCAGGGCAGGCCCTACCATATCGCTGGCAACAAGAACCAGTCTCAACTGGCAGCTCAGAGCCGGGCTGTTTAGGGTAAAACAGGCGAGAGTGCTTGGTTCCTGAGACTTGGCAGCTGGGGCCCCGGAGAAGGGGTGAGGGAAAGGGGGTTGGGGGGCTGGCATCCTCCATTCTGGCCACCAGGACACTGCCTGAATTTAGGGACATGCCTGCAGAAGGCAGGACACAGTGCTGATATTCTGCCCACTGTGCTCAGGACAGTGGAAAATTTCAAGACAAGAGCGGCACAAGATTGCCGGTGTGGTTTAGGAGAGGCAGAAAGGTTTGGGACTGGGTTCAAATTCCTACTCCATCTCTTCCAAATCATGTGACTTTGGTATGTGCCTTAACCTCTGCGAGCTTTAGTTTTCTCACGTATTAGGTGGGAATAATAACCTCGACCTTACAAGACAACTGTGAGCCTCTAAGGCAGACGGAAATACAAGAAAGCCCGAGTTCAGGGCTGCCTAGGTGTTCGCTGGGGATGTGGTTCATTTAGGGGTTCAACTCGCAGGAGAGCCGAGTGCTTACAATACCCGAAGCCTGCTCTACGGGTGAACTGGGAGAGGCCTGCAGAGGAGCTAAGACTGCCCGCACCCGGGGCCTGGGCGCTCTGGACGCCAAACCTGGGAGGGGCAGGTAGGGCTGAGGGGCGGCGCCCGCCACGAGCTGGTTCCCCTTCTTTCCTGACACACGGTCATGTGAGATGAGAGCTGGTGACCCCAACAAGGCCCCAAAAGGGAATTTGGGGCACGAAGGGCTTCGCTCTGGCAGGGCCAGTGGACCGATTTCCCAGACCCTCGCGGAGGGAACAAACACTTGGGCCAGAGTCTAGAAGCCCCAAGAGGCCGGTCCCCGCGCCGCCCCCGCCTTCACCCTGTGCTCCCACCAGGCAGCACAGGGTCCCGTTCAGGCCTCGCTGGCAACCCTACCGGAAAGTGTCTTCGATCTCATTGATGGTTGTATCCTTCTCCACCACCAGGAAATTAGGGTGCCGGTTCTTGTTAAGCTCCCCTATGCCGCCCAGTAGGAAGCCAGTCACCGTGTCCTCGTCTCCGATCACCGCAATTAGCTTCCCTCTCCCCGCCATCCCTGCAGACAGAGCTCAGCCACCCAAGCCTGAAGTACCGGAATCCCCGCCTCCACAGCGCACCGCCTTTCGGTCGCACCCCCACCCTTTAGGCATGCGCACTGCTGCCACTCCGCCTCCCGGGACATGCGCATTGATAGCAAAACTGTCTTAATCGTTCCGGCCTGCGCTATAGAGTGGCTGGAAGCCGGAGACTACGATTCCCAGGAGTCCGCGCGGCATCACGGGTTCGGGGAGACCTTTCGATTGTTCGGTTCACTGGTGTTGAGCCTACTGCTTTTAGATGCCGAAATCTCCGAAGGAGGGGACAGGTCGTGTTCTCCGAGGCAAGGTCTCGGTCTCTGCCGTGTGTGTATGACACGTAGTAACCAATTAGTATATTTTGTTTAACAAAAGGGTGAACAGGCCCTGGCCGGGTATACAGTTGGTTAGAGTGTCCTCCCCGTACAGTAAGGTTGCGTGTCACCCCTGGTCAACGCACATGCACCAACCAACCAATGAACGCATAAGTAAATGTGGAACAACAAATCGATGTTTCTCTCTCAAAATAAATTAACTAAATAAATGGGTGAGTAAGTTAATGATGTTACTGTCTAGTGAGGTAGAGTCAAGTGAACGTGCAGTTGCAAAGCAGTATGGCAATTGCTAAAATGGGAGAAGTTCGTGGAAGCACATGTCTGAGGTGTCTAAGCCGAGGTAGAAGGGGCCCTCAGAAAGGTTGCCAGCAGAGTCAAGGGAGTAGAAATGGGAACAAGAGGGTGTTCTAGGAAAAAGAAACAGCCTGTGCAAAGCCTAGTGGCCAGAGAGCATAAGTGCCTTTATTAAAAGATAAAGAATCTGGAAGTTATCCTGAAGCCATTGAAGCATTTCAAGTGAGAAAATTGTATCACCAGACTTATGTTTTCAAGATAGCATTGTGATGGTGCTGTGTGGAGGCAAGGAGGAGACCGACTGTGGTTACGAGCTGACGCTGGCCGGAACTCAGGTAGTGGTCATGGGGAATTGTGGAGAAGCAGATGGAGTGGAGATAGTTCGAGATAGAATGGACAAAACTTGTTTTTGGATTGGATGTTTTTGGGGAGTAAGAGAGACTCAGGGACTCCCAGGCTCCTGGCCTGTGCAGCTAGGTAGGTGGGAATAATAACGAAGTCTGTCCAGAAGGTATCCAGCCATGTAATGTGAAAAATAGAGACATTTCTTGAACAAGGTACAAGAAACTTTGTACATAGGAAAATGATGTTTCAGTCCCCTTCAAAGTAGGCACCTCTGGGACCTTGCACAGTTCTCCCAATTGCTGTCAGCTGCCCCATCGTATTTTCCTGAATCTCATCAATGGTCTGAAATCTCTTCCCTTCCAAAGGTGATTTTAGTTTTGGGAAAAGCTAGAAGTTGCAGGGCGCCAAACATGGGTTGTAGAGGGGTTGAGTCACCTGGGTGATTTGATGTTTCATATAAAAAACTCTACATGAGACATGATGTGTGAGCAGGCGCATTGTGATGAAGCTGCCAATCACCAGTTGCCCATAGCTTCTGAATCAGCTGAATGGTTTCCACAGAGGAATGTTCAAGCTTAATGCAAACTTTGATGCAGATTCGTTGCTCTACTCAGTCATTTTGAATGCAATGGCCACACAGTACACATGTTCACTCAACAGCGTCTACCACCCCCACTGACTAGTACAGGGAAGTCATCATTGTTCATGCATGTGCATTCCAGTCCACTCTCCTTGGCTACCAGGTTACATTGATGTTGTGCAGCTGTTCTTATTATATCAACAATGGCTAGACTTTTTCTGAACAGATCTCGTATTCCTAAGTGAACTCTGTGAGATGTACATGCTGAAGAAAGGTCCACTCTTTCTTCCTCCCTCCCCTTTTTAGAAATGTGTTTATTGATTTTAGAGAGAGAGGAGAGAACATTGATGTGAGAGAGAAACATTTATTGGTTACCTTCCATTCATACCCTGACTGGGAATGAAACCCACCACCAAGGTATGTGCTCTGACTGGGAATCGAACATCCAACATTTTGATGTATGGGATGATGATCCCACCAACTGAGCCACACTGGCCAGGCTGCCTTCTCTTTTTTTTTCCCCCGAAGATTTTTATTGTTTTAGAAAGAGAGGTAAGGGAGGGAGAAAGAGAAACATTGATGTACTAGAGAAACATCAATCAGTTGCCTCTCACACAGCCCCAACTGGGGACCTGGCCTGCAACCCCGGCGTGTGCCCTGACTGGGAACAGAACCTGCAGCCTTTCGGTTGGCAGGCTGGCGCTCAATCCACTCAGCCACACCAGCCAGGACATCCTCCTCCCTTTTAACAAACAGGCACCCTGGAGTCTGACATGGTGCGTGGCACAGCCTTTGGAGTTTAGAACACTTAACATCCAGGTGGTCTGGTCCACTGGTTATTTGTATGATGGGCTTGAGATTTGGGTGCACTGTTACCTAGAGGTATGATTTTGGACCCACTCCCACCGTTCTCAGGGCCTCTTTCCTTCAGGTAACAGTATGCCCACCTCATAGGCTGTGAGGATTAAGTGAGATGGAGCCCATAATAAGTGCTCAGCACCCAGGGCCATACTGTCGTTGGGATGGGGGGAGCATCTGGGCTGGATATCCATAAATGCATCGATGGATCTCCAAGTGGAGGGCAGCAGACCGTGCAGGAAAACTCTTGTATCTGGGGGTGAGGCAGAGGGAGGGTGAGAAAAAGTGGGAAGTGGTGTGGGGGGAAGCTCCTGGCTCAGTGTTTGGCGCAGACCTGGCCTTTAATGGCTGTGAGCGGTTGGGTACTTGAGAACAGATCCTGCCTCAGTGGGTCTGTCGGATGAAGTAGGGAGCTGCGCCCATCGCGTTCATCGCACACTCCTTCACTCAGCTGGCGTTTATCAAATGTGGCCGTGAAGGTGCTGAGGACACGAGATTGATAACATACGATTTCTGTCCACAAGGAGCTCTCTCAGGCCTGTGCGCAGAGTGAAAAATATCCCAGGGATGGGGGCAGACACATGGGAAGAGGAGTCTTGAGCAAATCCTTGAGCAGGATTCAGAGCAAATGAGGGAGGGGGAAGGGGAAGAAGAAACTTGAAGAGCAAGGAGACAGGTAGGCTAGTGAGTGAAGAGGTGAGGCGTGGGCCTTGGAGGTGACCCACCACCCCGTGCTGAAATGGCCAGGGGCGGGTCTAGGAGCTGGGGACTCAAAGGAGTGAAATGCTTCTTTGCCCTGCTCTGGCTACCCAGTTGCTCCTTTCTTTACTCATTCACCACACCTGTCTGTGTCAGACCTGCCTGGGCCAGGGAGCTCAGTCTAGTGGGGAAGGCCAACCCACGGATGCATGGTCACAGACCAGGGCAGTGAATGCAGCCAGAGACATGTCCAAGGGGGTATGGGGGGGTGCTGGTCCGGAAGGGGTCGGGGAAGCTTCCTGTTGGATAGGAAGATGAGGAGGCAAGGGGGTTGCGTGGCAGAGGCCCTAACTGCAGCGCGGGTGTCTAGGAAGCTAGGGGCTGTGAAGAGGAGTTGCAGCTGGAGGGCGCAGTGGGGAATGAGCTCACTGCCCGGCTCAGGGGTCTTCCGAAATGACGCGTGGGGAGGCTGGACATGAACCTGGAGGCCGTGGAGGCCTCGTTAGGAAGAATACACATTAGCCTGCAGCAGGAAGGAGTCACCAAAGGGCCCTCAATTGGAGAGGGGCCTAACGCCTTTAATGTGACCCGCAGTGGCTGCAGCGTGGCGGGTGGATTGGAGGGAACTGGCCAGGGAGCCAGGGAGGCTACTTAAGAGGCTGGCTCAGGAGGGAGGCCCTGATTTGACGAGGGATCCGGCTGGAGTAAAGGTTCCTGCGCTTGCATGTGGTCTGGCTGCCTGCCGGGTCGGGAGCATCCCTGTCTGCGTCAGTGCTGTGTGTTAAGTTTCTAATTTGGAGAACATTTTGAGATCAGGCTGAATAGAAACTGGCCTCCCACTGGTCCTAGAACATAGTGTCCATCTCCCTTTTCCACCCGCCAGCTCTCCAGGAATCTGAGGACCAATCCCACATCCCTATCTTGTCCCCGCCCCCTACGCCCTGGCCAATCCCTGTTTTTTTTTTTTTTCCTGCAAACAGTCCGCCAACATCCCAGACTTCACCCAATAGATGGCCCAGAAAGAAGCGTGACCCCCTGCCCCAGGCCTCCAGGGGACAGCCAGCCAGTCTCTGCCTCCCCAGGGCCTCACTTGGTGTCAGTGGGTCAGGAGAGGGCCCGCGGCGGAGAGCACTCATGCAAGGAACAACCGAGCCTCTGCGACAGGCCGCACTTTATTTGGAGTTTTCCACCAAAGTGGCTCCCAGCTGAGCCACATGACATGTGCAAAAGTTCCCCCAGAAAGCTGGGCCTCGCAGTGTGTAAAAAAGGCCCCCATGGGGCAGAGCTGTGCAACCATAAAAAAAGAGAGAGAGAGAGAAATCTGTCCCCCAGGAAGCCTGGCTGGGATAGAAATCGCCCGGAGCCAGGCCATGTGCCAACGCTGCTGCTGGTTCTGGGTCCTTTTTCTCCAACGATTGTGCTTCTTTCCCGAGTCCTTAACGCTCCGGCGTTGTAGCCACCAGAGGGGCCAGATGCAGTCCGTGGTGCAAGGAGGCCCGGCCAGCAGTGAGGTCCAGGGCGCCCTCTCTCACACACAAAGACACCCCCAGTATGTGCTCCCCCGCTGGCCTCAGCCCACCGAAACACTCAGGGCTTCCCTGACCCCCCTGAACCCCAGTCCGCCCTTACATCACATTTGGAGGGAGGGACACTGCCCTGAGGCAGACAAGGCCTCCAACCCCTGGGGGCTCGGTGGGCTGAAGAGGCGGTGCCATTCATCTCACACCTCAAGGCAGGTGTTTGTGGTGTCTGATTGTGCATGTGTGCATCTGGGTGTGACCCATTTGTGTGTGTTTACATGAGTGTGTGTTTGGCCAAAGGTGGGGGCTGAGGCTGGGGGAGGCACTTCTGGGATTCAGGGCACGTTGACTTTGAAGGGGCTTCCGGGGACACTTTCGTCGCCCCACTTGACGATGAGAATGTAGTCCCCTTTCTCCTTGACGG